AAGGGGCCGCGGCACCGCCAGGAAGCGCCCGAGGAGGGCGGGTCTGAGTGCGGCACCCGAGCCCGCCGTTGCCAGGGTGCGGCTCGCCCTCTGTCCCAAACCCTCGCCACTCCGGCGAGACGCCGGGCTACCGGCAACGCCTCCGGGGCCGGGCCCGCCTGCGCTCGCCTCAACACGCGCATTCCCGGCCGCAGCCCGAACTGAGAAGCCGCAGGCTCCCCGGACGCCGCGCCCGCGCCGCCCACTCGGCCCCGCTCCCCCGGCTTCTTCCCAGGCCCCTACCTGGGAGCCGCGGGACTCATGGGTCCCTCCGCCGCGGAAGTGACGTCACGCCCCCGCCAAGCCCCACCCAATGACAGCTTTCGGGCTGCGCAAGCGCGCTGGCCGTGCTGCCCTCAGAGGATGGCCGAGGCGTCCACAGGGCCTCCTCCTCCCGAATGTCTCCCTCCGTTTTGTTTGGGGCTCCCCAAATTTGGGGCAGAGGGGGGACAAATTTGGACATGTGTGCTATACTTACCAAGACTTATTAGCCATAGTTATTAAAATATTATGACATACACCAAAAAAATCAATGATGTAAAAAATAATTCAACAAGTAAACATGAAGATCTGATTGGGTTTATTAAGTGATTCATGATTGGGGGAGCATCCCACCCAGCTAATAGGAGCTCCAAAGGACTACAGAAAGGGAAAGCTTTTTGTTTTGTTTTTAAATCTTTTTTTCTATTTTTCAATGCCTGTTGGCATACATTATTATATTAGTTTCAGATATACACCCCAGTGATTAGACATTACATATTTTACTAAGTGATCACCCAGTAAATCTCACACCATCTGACACCATACACGGTTGTTAGGATGTTACTGGCCATAATCCATATGCTGTACTTTACAGCCCCATAACTCCAGTCACAAAAGTACCAATTTGTACTTCTTAATCCCTTCACCCTTTCACCCATCCCCCCAACTCCATCTTGAAATATGGTAGCAATCATACTTGGGTAAAAACTGCAGTTTGAATTTTAACCTTGCTATCTGACTTCGACCTTCAACCTTCAATTACTTGCTTAAACAATAGGGTAGTTACAGGGGATTGACTCCCAATGACTCAGTAGCTTCAGGGGTAGAAACTATAGATAACCTTTAGTTCTGCTTTTGTATTATGGGCAAGATAGGGCCACATTCCAATGTTCAGCAGGGTGTGACAGGGAACGCACCCTGCAGGCTGTCCCCAGTCTTTAGAATTTAGTCTTTAGGACACATGTGTCAAACACCAGGCCCGCAGGCCAAATCCGTCCCGCCAGGCCTTGCAATGTGGCCTGCACCACGCTGTCGTCACTGCACTCCGCTGCGTTTCCATCACAATGACAGTTTATGACTGTTCAGTAAACCATTCGGCCCGCAATTTAGGCTGGATTTTAGATTTTGGCCCCTTCTCTGATTGAGTTCGACACCCCTACTTTAGGATTTAGGAACAGATAAGGACGTCCAGTTCTTTGTCCTGAGGGGCCAATCATGGTTAGCCAAGGCAGTGACATCACCACCGACCTGAGTAAAACCCCTGGACTGGGCGAAATTCTCTCTCTTCTGCCATGCTGCCGGAGTTAGTGGGACAGGGCCCATGCTAGCATGGAAAAGGCTCTTTTGTTTATTACATTGGACTCGGCTCCCTGGTGGTCCTTGGGGATCACGAATTCGTCTGGGATCCCCAGCCAGGACCATGAGGGACCCCAATCCAGAGAGCCTGACTGGCTGCGGTAGGTGTGTGTTTGTCTGTGTTTTTGTGTGAGCGCTCTGGAGGGACTGCCCCTCCATCGGGGCTCTTACCTGAGTGTTTGCCGGCTGCTGCGTCAGCCACGGTTTGAGCCCGGATTCAAATCTGTAATAAATTCTTGCTGGCTTAATCAAATTGGCTTCGGCGGTCCATCTTTTGGGGACTCGCTCCATAACACATCTAGCAACCGTCATAGCGTTCTCTGTATCTTGATTCTGCCTTTGTTTTGCTTCATATTTTTAAATCCTCACTTGAGGATATTTTTCCATTGATTCTAGAGAGAGGGAAAGACAGAGAGAAATATTGATGTGAGAGAAACTCATAAACTGGTTGCCTCCTGCACAGGAGGAGCTGAGGTCTGTACCCATGACCAGAATCAAAGGAAGGACCTTGAGCCTGCAGGCCAATGCTCTATCCACTGAGCCAAAACGGCCAGGGCTGCTTGTTCATTTAACTTCCTTTTTAGATTCAATTGTTGGTATATGTGTACTTATTGCCATGTTATTATTCATATTTTCTTTTTTGTTATTGTTCATTCTCACCTAATAATATTTCTGCCCCTAACCCAGGAGCCCACCTTATACAGCACAACTTACTTTAGTGGGACTCCAGTGCTCACAGACCCCGCCCTCTGAGTGTGTCTGCTTATGGAAGCGTTAGATGGTGTGCTTCAAGGTGGTCTGAAGCTGTCCACTAGGTGCATTGGTTCTGGAACCCCCAGAGAGGTGCAGGCCCAGGTCAGCCACTGCCTGTATTCTGCCGAGGCCACTCAGCATAAGCTACAAAGCAGTCTGCAGATGGTTGCTACTTGTGCTGGTCTTGTAGGTGCCCATGCAAGGCCAAGCTGTAAAGCAAGGCAGGCTGCTGCTAGCACTAGATCTGGGGCTACTTAGGGAGAACTGAGGCCAGCAGCTGCTTGTTTCAGAGATTTTAGGGAAATCTGAAGCATGAGCCAAGACAGGCCATTTGGATAAAAAAGCCAATGGAAACAGTATGGGTGCACCTGGCAGTTGGTTGGGGCAGAGTCTCAGGGAATCACCCGGATGGGGCAAACAGCATGAGCCAGTTGATGGAGTCTCAGATACAGGGCTGCAAGCCAATTGTGAGGTGTGGTGAGGGTCTCAATAAAAGAACAATGTCCTCTGTCAGCATTGGTCTGACACAAAGCTTCACACACATCCACCCCGGCTCTCATCCTGATGCTAGACAATTGTTTGTCAATGTAAGCAATGTTCAAGTTCGTAGAGAATTTTTCTGATTTTATTTAAGCCAAACTGCCAACAGTTGCCAGGAAGCAAAACCTCAAAGGATTGGGAAAATGCTCCAGAAAATGGCAGTTTTGCCCTAGCCAGTTTGGCTCAGTGGATAGAGTGTTAGCCTGTGGACTGAAGGGTCCCAGGTTCAATTCCAGTCAGGGGCACATGCGGGATTTTAGGCTCCATTTCCAATTGGGGGGCGTGCAGGAGCAGCCTGTCAATGATTCTCTTTCAACTGATGTTTCTGTCTTCCTCTCCCTTTTTCTTCCTCTCTAAAATCAATGAAAATGATTTAAAAGAAAATGGTAATTTTGTTCCTTATTTTATGCATTACAATCAAAAGAGGAGGTGCGAGAGGGTTACATGAAATCCAATGGTGATAGATTAAGGAGGTGGGAAAAAGCAAAGTGGGAAAATCTCTAGGACTGGCTAAAAAGTAAAATGAAAGACACATACTTCTTTTAACTAGGTGGGTACAGGAGAGTTAACAGTCAACAACTAACATGATAACAATTACAATGAGATTTGTGGTCTCTGCCCTGTGGTTGTGAAGGGGGTGGAAAAGAGGAAATTACCTTAACATTCCAAAGATATGTTATCATAGATGCAAAAAGACAACAGACAGTCTCAATTAAGGTAAAAATTGACTTTTGTCAGGGATAGTTCTAGCCCGGACATGACTTCCTGCCATGACCTGCTTTTATTTTTTATTTTATTTTTTTATTGCTTGTAGCCAGGACTCCTCTGGGCACTGAGGGTATAGAAGTAAAGAAAACAAAAATCATTACCCTCATGGAGTTTTTGTACTATGGAGGGAATAAAATAAAAAAAAATTCTTTTGAGAAAAAGCAGGGCAAGGAAGGGAGAATTTGGGGTTTAGGAGAGGTATGATTTTCATTAGGATGGCAAGGCTTGCAGGCCTCCCTGAGCAGGCAGAGTCTGATGACCCTGAGGAGCGGGGCTGGGCGGGTAAAGCATGGAGTCTGGGAGTGGAACACTTTGTAGCAGAGGGGGCAGAGGCTGAGTGCGCTTGGCAATTTGTTTTGGCCACCAACGCCTTATCCCAGCCTCAGTCCATTACACCCTGCAGCTTCAACCCAACGCCAGTCTTACTGCTTCAAACGTGTCATAGCTTTGGACTGGCCTGAACAGACCCGGTTCCCTCAGCCGGTCCAGGAACGCAGCAACGCGGGGCTCGTGGGTGTCGGCGGGCAAGCTCCCCAGACCCTTGGGCCTCTGCTCCCCAAAGACATGCCCTTGCTGGGATTTGTCTAACGACCTCTTCCCCGCCTCCCGGTTCGGCCCTGGCTGCGAGCAGACCGGGTGGTCCACGGCAGCCGCGGGCCCTGGAAATGCGGCTGGTGGGAACCGAAGCGTAAAATACTGGTTTTAGTTTTTGTTTAAAGATTGTAAAACATTTTATTGAATAAGCCTGCAATGTTTCTTAAATGCTGAAATGATAGGCTGGCTGTACTGGATGAAAGTTTGTTACTTAATTTCATTCATTTTCATTTTCCAAAATGCGGCTATTGCACCGGTCGGAGGAGAACCGAGGCCGGCACGGCTCTGTGGCTCGGCGCTGGGGAGCGGCGGGCCCGGGCGGACCAGCCTTCTCCCGCAGCAGCGCCCACCGGGAGGCGGCGCGGGCCCGGGACCCTCCGACGCGGAGGGCCACAGAGCGCCGGAGGACGGTGCGGAGTCGGGGGCCCAGGGGCTGGCAGGGGGGCCGTGCCAGGGCCCGCGGCTCGGCTCGTCGCCCCGCCCCTTTGCCGCAGAGCTCGGCCGGGGCGAACCGGATCCGGGCCCCAGCGCCACCCTCCTTGCCTTTTCACGGCTGGAGACCGGAAACGGGAGGCGGTCCCGAGCCAGACGGACGACGCTGGCAACCAACCACCGCCGCCGCTGGTGACGAAGGCCAGCGGGCGACCAATGGCGCGGCGCGAGGCGGTGCCTCTGGCTCCCAGCCTCCGCCGCGCGGCCCGGAGCGGGGGACCAGGCGGCGACCTGCGTGGAGGCGCCGTGGCCTCGCGCCCCCTCGCGCCGCCAGTTCGTCTTTGTCCGCGCCCCGCGCCCGTCCCGCCGCCGGCCGGGCCGCCCCGCGCCGCGCTGGCGTCGTCCTCGCCCCCGTCGCCGCCCCCCGCGCGCAGCCGGGCCTTGCCCCCGATGGTGTCCCGGCCCGAGCCCGAGAGCGAGGCCATGGACGCGGAGCTGGCGGTGGCGCCGCCGGGCTGCACGCACCTGAGCAGCTTCAAGGTGGACAACTGGAAGCAGAACCTGCGCGCCATCTACCAGTGCTTCGTGTGGGGCGGCACGGCCGAGGCCCGCCGGCGCAAGGTGAGCCCCGCCGCCGGGCCCGCCTGGCCTCCGCGGACCCTCGGGGCGCGCGCGCCGGGGTCCGGACCCGACCCTCCCTCCTCCCCTCCCCCCTTTCCCCTCTCCCTCCTCCGGCGCCCCCTCCCCCGCCTCCGGCACCTCCTCCCCCGCTCCCGTCTCGCCCCTCCCCCTCCCCTCCCTTTTCCCCACTCCATCTCTCCCTCCCTCCCCGCCCCCTTCTCCCCTCCCTCCCTTTCCCTTCCCTCCCTCCCCGCCCCTCCCCTTCCCCCATTGCCCCTCCCCTCCCCCGCCTCTGGCGCCCCCTCCCTCGCTCCCGTCTCGCCCCTCCCCTTTCCCCACTCCATCTCCCCGCCCCCTTCTACCCTCCCTCCCCGCCCCCTCTCTCCCCTCCCTCGCCGCCCCCGCCTCGCCCCTCCCCCACTCCGCCTCTCCCTACGGCCCCCTCCCCCGCCGCCCCTCCCCCACTCCACCTCTCCCTCCCGTCGCCCCAGCCCCCGGCCTCCCTCCGCCCCCGGCCTCCCTCCGCCTCCGGCGCGGGGTGTTGAGTGGGGGCGGACAGGGCCTTTGGGGCAGATGAGGGCGGGCCTGGGGTGGCGTTTTCCCTTCCCCGTTGGCCGCCTAGTGCGAGGAGGCCCGTCTCCTCCGTCCCGGCCGGAGGAGGCGGGTTCGGGGCGGGTTCCCGGAGAGGAAGACACCAACTTAGTCGATGGGCCTGGACGGCCGCGGCGGCCTGGGGTGGGCCCGGCTGCGCCCGCCCCGGGGGGTGCCCGTCCCGGGAGGGGGGGCGGCCCTGTGCGGGGCTGAGGCCCCCGGGACGCCGCGGGGCAGGCTCGGGGCCAGGACGGGGTCCGGGGGTGTGGGAGGGGAGGGGCTGCAGTCCTTGCGGGCCGTATCTACAATATTAATAGGGAGCCGCAGAGAAGCCCTTGCAGCGGGGAGGGGGTGGGGAGCGGGGAGCGGACTGGACAGACCGGGGAGGCTGGGGCAGGTCGGACCAGGGTGCCTTCTTTGACCAGAGAAATGAACCACCTCCGTAGACACGGACGAAAGAGTGTGTAGTGCTGTTATTATTTTTAGGAACACATTTCATCCGAGTGATTAGGCTTAATCATTTGGAAACCAGGAAATACTGGTATTTTTCATCTGATTTTACAGTGAAATGCGGTTGTTCAAGTTTACAGTTTGAGGTTGGGTGTTGGGCGTTTACCACCTTCAGTGGCATGTTTTAAAATTAATTTTTAAATGCACAAATGAAGGAGATCAGTCTTGTCAAGTAGAGAAGATCAGATTCTTAAGGAGCTGGTTGGGGACCTACCTCGATGGGAAGACGCTCTGTGGCCTTCCGGTGTTGGGTCTATTTACCTAGCACTTCCGCTGGCTTTCCAGGGGCTCTCCTCCCGGGCCTCACTTCCTAATTCCTTACCAGGTCCTGGCTGGCGGCGCAGGGGGTCTGTTACTCTGTCCCTCCCGGTGTTTCCCAGGAAGCATAAGACATCGTGTTTGCGGGTCCTCAGGTCTAGCAGGAGCTTGGTTAATTGGTTCTCCACCTCCAGGGCGGACTCTGCAGCTTGTCCGCCGCTCCCCAGTCATCTATCTCAGGCCCCTTAGTTAGCATTGATGGCAGGTTTTACATCCTCTCTGATGGCTTAGACAGCTTTCTATGTCCTTCACCTCAGCTTGGTGGTCAAAGAAGGTGGCAAAAAGAAGTACTGAGTCTTCAATGGAATTACAGGCCATCTATCTATCTAATACATATATAGATTAAATAGTGGGAGTGCCACTTGGCTGGCTGGGGTGAGCAGCACTCCCACAGCAGGAGCAGCCGCTCAGAGGGCAGGTCCACAGCTCTTGGCCGACCAGGATGAGTGGTGCTCCCACCGCGGGCAAATCCCCGCAGGCCACACAGCCCACCAGTGCACAGATCCGTGCGCCAGGCCTCTAGTAGCTAAATGAGCATCCCTGATGTGCAGCTCATAAGAAGGGGCATGCTTTATAATGGGAAAACTTAACAGATTCACTGACTTGTAGGGCATGTTTACCTTAATTTTTCTTTTATCAGTAATGGTATTGGGAAGCATTACCTTTTAGGATACCTAAAATCAGATATGATGAAATTATTGCTAATGGAATTGTGTGCCTTTGGGGAAAAAAATCGACTGGCTGAAACCAGTTCTTTTATTTTTTTATTTTTATTTATGTACCCAGGTACATTACACCTCTGTTTTTTTGTACTAGAGGCCCTGCCCATCTGCGTGTGCCACCGCCCACCTGCCCGCAGCCCCGCCCACCCGCCTGCTGCCCTTCCTTTCAACCTAACTTTTCCACCCAGAGTTTGAGTGCACCACCCCCAACCCCTCCCATCTTCTCTGGCCATTTCAAGCCCCGCCCTCAGTCCCACAAGGCTCCTCGGGCTGGTCCCGCCTCCCCCAGGGGCCTTCCCGCTTCCACCCAGTGTCCAGAGCAACTCTGTGGCTCCGCCCGGCAGGGCACTGGAGGAGAGCGTGGAAGCCTCGCGCCTGCTACAGAGTTTCGAGTGCTGCACTCCTTCCCGGGCGGGCGGGCGGGCGGGCGGGCGGCGGCGGAGCGCTCTGAGTGGAGTGGTGAGTGGCGAAGGACTGGTGAGGGGGCCCTCCCTGCCACAGGATGGTCCCGCCTCCTCCAGGCGCCTCCGGCTATGCACACAACCTCCTGCTGAACGGTTGTTACCGTGTGAGGGTGTCATGACCATTAGCATACTAGCTCTTTGTTTTATAGGACTAGGGCCTGCACTGGGGAGGGGTCCTCAGCCCAGCCTGCCCCCTCTCACATACTGGGAGCCCTCAGGGGATGTCCTACTGATGGCTTAGGCCCACTCCCCATTGAGAGCGGACCTAAGCTGCAGTCTGACCTCCCTTTGTGGGGAGGCTGATCAGGGGAAGGCACAGCCCCATCACCCCGCTGCTGCAGCCACTGCCAGTCACCGCAGCCGCCAAGGTGTTTTCATCAACACGACTCCAGTCCTTTCACCGAGAAAAAATGACAACTTTCTTTAAGCATTTTCAAGATGTGTCTTTTGTAGGATATGACATTTCTTTATTTTTATCTTCACCTGAGGATATATTTCCATTGATTTTTTTACCCCCTTCCCTCCAATTGCAGGCTTGGCCCCTTCCCAAGCCTAAAGCCTGAGCATGGATGTAAAGGAGCATCTGTGCTGGTCCTAGGGTGCTCACAGCTCGCTCTGACCAGTGCTTCAGCTCGGGGCCGTCTCCCGCCAACTCCTCAACACCCCTGTGCAGCTCTCTTAGGACAGTTTTCCACGGTTCCTGTCTTATGGAAGTAAAGGTTGCAGACTGGTGCGCAGGCCTGCACGCCACATGCATGAGTGCTCTGCCTGTCCCTTCTGGGCTGGGCCCTTGCTTGGCCTTGTGTGTGCAGAGGGAAGCTTAGAAGGGACAGTCTTCGGCTGCGAGGGCGAGTCGGCTCCCAGGTTCAGGCAGGCCCTGGTCCATGTTCCAGCTGTGCCTCTCCTGGCTTTCCTGTCACGGCATTTACAGTTTCCTCCATGTCAGAGGGGCTGCCAGCCCACCTCATGGGCGAGTGTGCGGATTGAAGGAGAACAACAGCCCAGTGTCTAGTGAGCAGTCAGCAAGCAGCAGGTAATGTTGGTGTTGCCTGCTGTTATTTTCAGAGGCCCTTTCAGTATTTGTTTTAAAACGTTTTTATTGATTTCAGAGAGAATGGGAGAGAGAGCGAGAAACATCAGCGATGAGAGAGAATCATTGATCGGCTGCCTCCTGCATGCCCGCTGTGGAGAGCTTTGTGGAGCGATGTGGGCGGTGAGCTCGCAGAGCGAGTGGCACAGGGCCCGCTGTGCATTGCAGAGTGAGGAGAGAGCAGCGCGGGACGTCATGGGGTGGTGGCAGAGTGTCATGGTGTGTCTCAGGGCATCGGTCATGGCCCTGATCGCAGGCTAGGCCTACGAACGCTACCTGTGCACGATTTTGTACACTGGGCCTCTTGTATTTAAAATAAGTGTGATTGCCATATTGTGTTAGAAAACTGACCTTCTTGGTTATTGAGTTACTGTATGAGTTATTGTCCATTGGGCTTATGATTGCTGTGACTAAAGTTTTATGTTTCTGTGGTCTAATTCTTGGCAAAAAAAACTTCCTTTTTTCTGTTTTTGTATATTGCTTTGGATCATGTCCCTCTCTGTCTGTTTTTTTGCTTCTAAATTTGCTGCGGTTGGGGGTTATCAAATTTAAATTGCTACCCAGACCCAGGGCAGGTAGGCCGTGAGTTGCTAGCCTGCTGTGGGGCTAGAAGTTGGGCCTGGCGGCTGGTGGGGACAGAATGCAGACTTCGCTTCTAAAACCGAATGTGGTGCACATCTAAGGAGCTCGCAGGTTTTGGTGAACTGTGGACGTGCTCTGACATGGAGCTAGTGTTGAAGTTGGTCCGAAGGTTGTGGGTTATTAAGCTGATTAACATGGAACTAGTGTTGAGCTAAATGAAGGAGGTGCCTCTAGGGGTCTGGAGGCCATTGAGACGATAAACAGAGTGATCTGTTCACAAAATTACACTTTGAGGAAAGTCCCTGCTTTCCCCCCTGCCCACACTGTTCTGTGGATGGATGGACCCCCTTGCTCACGTATTTCTCTGAGGACCAGTACTGGTTTTCATTTTCTTCTCTGTTCCAGGCCAAGTCCTGCGTCTGCCACGTCTGTGGTGTCCATCTGAGCAGGCTGCACTCCTGCCTCCACTGTGTCTTCTTCGGCTGTTTCACAAAGAAGCACATTCACGAACACGCGAAGTCCAAACGGCACAACCTGGGTAAGGCCGCTGTGACAGCGTTGGGGAGTTACCGCCCTCTGCTGTCTGGATTTAGATTTGCAGTTCCACACTCCTAAAGTCCATTTCTTCTGAAACTTCACAGGGGAAACGAAAGACAAAGTGAACCCAAACAGATCATTTACCCAGCTTGCCTGTGGCATTTAAGTTGGTGGTGTAATCTTTTTAAAAGAATATTTTTTATTAATTTCAGAGAGGAAGGGGGAGGGAGAGAGAGATAGAAACATCAGTCATGAGAGAGAATCATCAATCGGCTGCCTCCTGCACACCTCACACTGGGGATCAAGCCCACAACCTGGGCATGTGCCCTGACTGGGAATCGAACCGTGACCTCCTGGTTCATAGGTCGACTTTGAACCGCTGAGATATGATGGCCGGTGGTGATGTAATTTTAAATGATAAATTATGATGGCTTACCCCTTATATCCTGCTAATTTTCTTTGATGGATTATTAGAGCCTCAACTTGCCTTCTGAAAAACATGGTTAGGATTTAGGTTAGGCAAATGTTCACAAAGGAAGAACTTAAATGCAGTATTAGGTTACTGGTGTTAACAGGGAGCTGTTTACATATGCGCTTTTTTTGCTTTCAGTAATGGATTTTATTGTTGTGAGTAATACCCGTTCACTAACATGCTGACAGCACTGTGTGGCATCAGGATATGGCTGGCTCCCTTTCGTACTTGCAGATGGAACTCTCATGTCTGGAACTTCACTTAAAGCAAGGTTTTATTTTCTTAGGGTAGTTGTTAAACATTTGTCTCCTTCACAATAGTGTTTCTGTTAAACTTGTGAGATTGTCACTGTATCCTTAAGAAAATTACTTCCAGCCGAAACCGGTTTGGTTCAGTGGATAGAGCGTCAGCCTGTGGACTGAAGGGTCCCAGGTTCGATTCTGGGCAAGAGCATGTACCTTGGTTGCTGGCACATCCCTGATAGGGGGTGTGTAAGAGGCAGTTGATGGATGATTCTCTCTCATCCATGTTTCTAGCTCTCTATCTCTCTCCCTTCCTCTCTGTAAAAAATCAATAAAATATATCTTTAAAAAAGAAAGAAAGAAAAAAAATCACTTCCAAAGGTATAAGCCAAAGAATGTGCCACAAAGTGCTTCGTGTCGCTCTAATTGAAAAAGGTATTTCACAGATTGCAGAGTCACTGTGCTGATGCGTGTCCCTTAAAGCTCCTGTAAGCGGTGTACATAGAGAAGGTAAAGTTGAGACTGACACAGCGCATGTCTGATTTTTCCTAAAAGTTTTTTCTTAGGAAGCAGAGTGATGTTAAACAACACAGACCTCTATCTTCTATGATGTGTTCACCAGCCAGTCGTTTTATTGTGAGCACAGGGAAGCTGTAACCTCAATATCTTGCTGTTTTCAGTAGATACAATTATTGAAATTTTGTTGTTAATCCTCACCTGAGGATATTTTTCCATTTTTTTAAATGTATTTTTATTGATTTCAGGGAAGAAGGGAGAGGGTTGGGGGGGTGGGGGAGAGAAACAGCAACGCTGATAGAAAATCATTGATTGGTAGCCTTCTGCAACCCCTACTAGGGATCTAGCCCACAACGCTGGCATGTGCCCTTGTTTGGAATTGAACCTGGGACCCTTCAGTCCGGAGGCTGATGTTCTATTCACTAAGCCAAACTCAGCTAGGGCTCCATTGATTTTTAAGGAGAGTGGGAGAGAGAAAGTCAGAAAGAAACATTGAAGTGAAAGAAACATCAACTGGTTGCCTCCTGCATGAGCCCTGACCAGGGCCTGGGGAGAAGCCTGCAACCGATGTACATGCTCCTGACTGGTATCAACCTCGGGACCCTTTGGTCCACAGGGCAATGCTCCATCCACTGAGCCAGACCACCTAGGGCAGTAGTTACAATTATGATGGAAACAGAACCCGAAGTAAACCTGAGCCTAAATGGTCAGTTAAGACCTGGCCAAGTGGCTCCATTGGAACGTCCTCCCCTGTACCAAAAAGGTTGTGGGTTTAAATCCCAGTCAAGGTGTGTGGGAGGCAAGTGATCAGTGTTTCTCTGTCACATACATTCTTTTTTTTCTTTCTCTCCCTTTTCCTCTCTTAAATTAACAGAAACATATCCACAGGTGAGGATTTTAAAATACTTTTTAAAAAGATCAGTCTTTGACAAAGGATGCAAGAACATACAGTGGGGTGGGTAAAGGTAGTAGTCTATTCAGTAAAGGTTTTGAGAAAATTCGACAGATAGATGCAGAAAAATGAAACTAAAGTATCTGGTTATTCTATATCCTATATAATAAAAGTCTAATATGCAAATTGTTCAAATGGCAGAACAACCGGTGGAATGACCAGTGCTATGATGCACACTGACCACCAGGGAGCAGGCATTCAATGCAGGAGCTGCCCCCAGCCTGCAGGCCCCAGACCAGCTAAGGCGGGGGTTGGGGATGGTGGGGAGGGCAGAGGGGGAAGTCTGATCGCCTTGCCAATTGCCCTGTAGAGGGAGGCAGCAGGGTTATCAAGGGACAGGGCTGGCTGGTGAACGGGCTAGCACCGCCCCCAATTTCCCTGCCAAGTGCCTCTGGAAGCAGCGGGCAGAGCCAGCCCAGCCAAAGCAGGTGCCAGCAGGGCCCCCCCGATTGCTCCGCCAGTCTAAAAATCCTAGAAGAAACTTCTGGGCAGCAAAATCTCAGACATCTCTCATAGCAATATGTTTTGAATACATCTAGGGCTAAGGAAACTAAGGAAAAAATAAACAAATGGGTGTACCTCAAAATAAAAGCTTCTGCACTACAAAAACCATCAACAAATGAACAGGGCCCATTGTATGGGAGACTGTATTTGACTGATGTATCTGATAGAGGGTTAATATCCAAATATGTAAGGAACTCATACAAAAGGACCTAAATAGACACTTCTCCAAAGTAGACATGCAGGTGACCAAGGGACATACGAAAAAATGCTCAAAGTCATTGGTCATCAGAGAGGCAAATTAAAACAATGAGGTATCACCTCACACCTGTCAGAATGACTGCAATCAACAAATGACAAGTGCTAACGAGGATGCGGAGAAAAGGAAACCCTAGTGCACAATATGGAGTTCCCTCAAAAAATTAAATATTGAATTGTCATTTGACCCAGTGATCCCACTTTAGGAATCATATATAATAAAGAGCTAATATGCTAATTAAACGGAACAGAATGACCGTCTGGACTACATTCCATACAAAGCTGGGGCTGCGAGGACCGTCAGAGGCTGTGATGGCCAAGCCCCTTGCGTGAATTTTGTGTATCGGACTTCTAGATATCCTAAGAAACCTGAAGCACCGATCAGAAAGAATGTATGCACCCCTATGTTCATAGCAGCACAATTTACAGTAGCTAAGGTATGGCTGAAGCAGATTCCTTTGTACACCTATTGTGAAGATATACCACAGTTTGTTTATTTGTCCAGTGTTAGGTGCTTGGATTGGTTATTATAAACAACTAGAGGCTGGTGCATGAAATTGGTGCATGGGGTGTGTGCGTCCCTCAGCCCAACCTGCATCCTTTCCAATCTGGGACCCCTCAAGTGCAGTCAGACATCTCTCACAATCCAGGAGTGCTGGTTCCCAACCGCTCGCCTGCCTGCCTGGCTGATTATCCCTAACCGCTTCTGCCTGCCAGCCTGATCACCCCTAACTACTCCCCTGTCAGCCTGATCAACATCTAACTGCTCCCCTGCTAGCCAGATTGCCCCTAACTCCCCTCCCCTGCTGGTTTGGTCACCCCTGACTGCCCTCCCCTGCTGGCCTGGTCACCCCTAACTGTCCTCCCCTGCAGGCCTGTGTCTCACCCCCTCCGCCCCCCCAATAGACCAGGTTGCCCCTAACTGCCCTCACCTGCCAGCCCAGTCACCCCCAACTGCCCTCCCCTGCTGGCCTTTTTTTAAACTTCTTTATTGATTATGGTATCACATAATTGTCCTCATCCCCCCCCATTACCATCCCAAACCCCTCCCCACGTATGCCCACCCCCTATTGCCCATGACCTCTGGTTAGGCTTATATGCATGCACACAAGTCCTTGGTTGATCTCTCCCCTTTGCCCCCACCCTCCCCTGCCTTCCCTCTAAGATTTGACAGTCTGATCGCTGATCTGTCTCTGGGTCTGTTTCTGTTCATCAATTTATGTTGTTCATTGTTTCCCCTAGATGTGTTAGGTCATGAGATACAAGGAATGCCCTTAAAAGGGCCAAAACTGAGACAACCCATAATATTATAGTTATGCTGAAAGGCAAATGAATCAGTCTGTAGTGAGTTTCTTTCTGGGCCAACAGTTCTTTTGAGTCCCAATTTCAATGTCAAACAGTTCCTTATGTGTACATGTCAGCCATGGTATTTCAGATCTGGTTGGTGGACAAATGATGTTGTTGATGCAGGTCTGAGCATCTCTGGTTTGGTCCTAGGCATCCTTCAGTGACGCACAGCTCCTGTCTGCTAGTATGGCAAGCCGTTGTCAGCATCTTCCATCTCTGGACTGATTCTCTTCTGTCTTCATGGCTGGGGCACTCCTGTCAATTCCTCTCTGTTGCAGGAATCCACATGGTCTTGGAGTTGTTTTCTGAAAATATACATACATATTCTTGACCAAAAGTTAATAAAGGTATATTTTCTATAAATTTGACTTGGGGTCCTTTTTCTTTTTTCTTTTTTTCCCCAAATGATTTTCCTCTGGCTTGTTTTGACACCATCTATGTTTTTCATGGGTATTTCATATGAAAGTTAATTTTCTAAAGTACAAATTTTCTAGATGTAATTTACTTATATTTTTCCTTACATGATATTTTTCCATCATCACCCCCTTTTTAAATTTAAATATTAGGAGGCTTTTGTCTTTAAAAAAAAAATCTTTATTCAGATTATTACAGGTGTTCCTCTTCTCTCCTCCCATAGCTCCTCTCCACCTGATTCCCCACCCCACGCCCTTATCCCCACCACTGTCTTCATCCATAGATGTAAGATTTTTGTCCAATCTCTTCCCGCACCCCTCAGACCCCCTTCCCCCTGAGAATTGTCAGTCCACTCACTTTTTATGTCCCGATTCTATTATATTCACCAGTCCATTCTGTTTTTTTAGATTTTTTATTCACTTGAATTTTAGATTCACTTGTTGGTATGTATTTTATGTCTTTTTGTTGTTCATTTTTTTTTTACCTTTACCTTTTTCTTCTTTCTCTTCTTAAAGAATGTCCTTCAGCATTTCCTGTAATCCTGGTTTGGTGGTGATGAACTCCTTTTGCTTTTTCTTATCTGTGAAGCTCTTTATCTGACCTTCAATTCTGAATGTCAGCTTTGGTAGGTAGAATAATCTTGTTTGTAGGTTCTTGCTGTTCATCACTTTGAATATTTCTTGCCACTCCCTTCTGGCCTGCATAGTTTCTGTTGAGAAATCTGCTGACAGTTCTATGGGTACTCCCTTGTAGGTAACTAGCTGTTTTTCTCTTGCTGCTTGTAAGATTCTCTCTTTGTCTTTTGCCCTTGGCATTTTAATTATGATGTGTCTTGGTGTGGTCCTCTTTGGATTCCTCTTGTTTGGGGTTCTGTGCACTTCCTGAACTTGTAAGTCTATTTCTTTCACCAGGTAGGGAAAGTTTTCTGTCATTATTTCTTTCAATAGGCCTTCAATATCTTGTTCTCTCTCTTCTTCTAGCACCCCATAAATCCGGATGTTGGTACGCTTAAAGCTGTCCCAGAGGCTCCTTACACTATCCTCACACTTTTGGATTCTTCTTTCTGCCTCTCTGCTTGGGTGTATTTTGCTTCCTCATATTCAAGGTCTTTGATTTGACTCTTGGGGTACGTTGATCTACAGTTGAGTTTCTGAATATTCTTTATTTCGGACAGTGTATGCTTAATTTCTGACTGGTCCTTTTTCATTTTTTTGGCATTCTCATTAAGGTCCTTGAAGGTCTCATCAAATTTCTCAGTGGTTTTTAGAAGATTCTTGAGTAACCTTATAAATGTGGTTCTGAACTCTGTGTCGACCAGTAGTTTACTTTCCTCCATCTCTCCCATTTGTGTCATGCTTCTGTGTTTCTGCATTTTGGCTTCCTCCCTGTGTTGATGGAGTGGCTTTGTGTGATAGGTGACCTATAGGGGCCAGTAGCTCAGCTTCCCCAATCACCTGAGGTGGTTGCTCTTGGTACACCCCTTTGTGGGCTGAGTGCAAAGTCTTGATGTAGTTAAGCCTTGATTGCTGTTGGTATGCTGGGAGGAATTGTCCTCCGGGCCAATTGGCTGTGAGGACCCGCTATGTGTATAATGGAGGAACTGCTGAGCTGGAGACACGCTTATGATGCAGGCCTTGTTTCAGTGGGGCTTTGATGCTCACTGAGTCCACCTCCCGAATGTGTCACATGGATGAGAGGAGTTGAAATCTGGTATCTCACACTGACCACTAGGTTCACTGGCTTCTGGATCTCCAATGGGGTGCAGGTCAACTACTGTCTGAGGTCACCCTGTAGGAGCTACAGTGAGAACCACAGTCTTCTCCTCCCTGCTTGGAGCTTGGAGGCTTTGGAGCTGTCTGCACCAGGTTGCAAGTTTGCTAGGTTAAACTGCAATAGAGAAGGCCATTCATATGCAAAAGCCACTGCTTGGAGCTTGAGTGAGTTTGTAGATTGTGCGGGAGAGAGTCTCAGGGTGGAGTCTCAGAGCATCACTAGGCTAGGGCATGGCAAACAGGGATGGCTGCCAGTCTGCTGTCTCTGCCTCTCCAACTGCGTCCCCACGTCTCGCAACCCAGCACAGCAAACAGTTATTCTTGCGTACAGCTCTGCGAGCAAACCACCCTCACTTTCTGACCCGATGGCAGACAGTACAGCTTCTCCCCAGAAACTGGATTTCAGAGAGATCGGGAGCTTGTTTCTCTCTGGGTTGAAGAAAGCAACGCCCGCTGCCAGCCGGGATCCACCACCGGCCCGTATTGGATGTGCCCCTGTACCTCAGTTTTTCAGCACCTGTTCCCTGATTGTTCTTTTCTCTTTCCGTCTAGTTGTAGAACTTCCACTCAGCCAGCTTTCCCGTGGTTCTGAGTGATAGACGTTTTGTCTTTTAGTTGTAGTTGGAAATTGTTGTGAACGGCCGCAGTTTAGATGTTTACCTACGCTGCCATCTTGGATCAGTAATATCTTTGATGCAGAATTTAATTTGGATGAAGTCAGGTTAATCTTTTTCCCTTTGGTGCTCGTCCTTGTGGTATGTTGATCCATGAAGACTTGCTATTGCGTCTTCTCAGGCTAATAAACTTCTAGCTCTTGTGTTTAGGTCCCAGGTCCAGTGAGTTGGTGTCTGTTTTGTCAGGTGAGGTCCAGCCTCACTCTGGCCTGTGGAGACCTCGTTGTCCCCCCACCGCTTGTTGAGAAAGCTGTCTTTCCACTGTTGACACCCCCACCCCATGTTACTATAGTTTGCACAGTGCATGTGAACACACCCTAGATCACATGTGTCAAACACAAGGCCCGCGGGCCAAATCCGTCCCGCCAGGCCTTGCAATGTGGCCCGCACAGCGCTGTCATCACTGCACTCCGCTGCGTTTCCATCACAATGACAGTTTATGACTGTTCAGTAAACCATTCGGCCCGCGATTTAGGCTGGATTTTAGATTTTGGCCCCTTCTCTGATTGAGTTCGACACCCCTACCCTAGATAATGGCATGCCTCTTCCTGGCTGGGAGTTTTGTGATTGGCTGTCTGCTTGGCATATTTTTCATGGAATGCCTTTGCTTTTCTGAAAACGTTTCTTCTCCCTGTTTAGCTTGTCCCATGGGTATCGCCATGCAGGACTGTGCTGTTAGCCTGTGGTGACGTGCAGGGAGTGTGTTGAGTCTGATTGGGGAGGCGGGCTCCTGTCCTGCTAAGCGTGTTGGAAGGGGCTGTTCCAGAGGACCTGGCAGGACTGCCAGTGCTCTGAGCTGAGTCGTGGTCGCGGGAGACGCGCTGGGAGGAGCTGCGGGTCACGAGGTGTGGCTGCGCAGCGGGACGGCCGCGGTGTCCATGCGCTGACCAGTGACCAGACAGGACTGGGAGGACCCATGATACCAGATGGGACAGGCGGGGAGTAATTTGTCAAAGAGCATGACTACCAAGCACAGCGCTGAATTTCCCATTACTCTAAGTTTGTGCTGTTTCCTCCATGCTCTTGCCTCTCAAATCTGATAATGCTTGTTGACTCCAAGCCAAAATAATTCCTTTAAATTGTTGAGTTGATACTCATTCAGTTCAATTGTCCATTGCTCAAAGAGCTTCATCTTATTTACCTTTATAATGAACTAATTTGAAATCAGCTGTCTCCCTATTTTACAGAGATTGAGAAAGTACACAGGACCCACTCAAGGTGGGTAACTGGCAGCTCTGGTCAAGAAGTCAGCACTAGCCGAAACCGGTTTGGCTCAGTGGTAGAGCGTCGGTCTGCGGACTGAGGGGTCCCAGGTTCGATTCTGGTTAAGGGCATGTACATTGGTTGTGGGCACATCCTCAGTAGGGGGTGTGCAGGAGGCAGCTGGTCGATGTTTCTCTCTCATCGACGTTTCTAGCTCTCTATCTCTCTCCCTTCCTCTCTGTAAAAAATCAATAAAATATATTAAAAAAAAAAAAAAAAAAAAGTCAGCACTGTCTAGTCAGAGAATAATTTACTGCTCTCCTTATAATAAGAGTAGGAAACAGTTCCTGCATTCCTGTTTGTAAAAGGACCGGGAATCCCAGGTGTGGAGACCATGGCTACTGAATATCAGGCAAGAATTCTTAAAACGCAATGAGAGTTTCCCTTTATTTAAATTCACTCTTTCAGGTACTTGATTATTGAGCTCTTTAAGAAGGATGGATGTGGCACCTCAGCCTGATGGGGTGCCCCGAGCAGAGGCCCACATCGTCTGCGTGGGACATGCTGCTTAGGGGAGGAGCCTTCAGTGACGGCTCTGCGGGGGACAGGATGCTGCACACAGCCCGTGTCGAAAGCACTGTGTGTCCGATTCGTTTCCAGTCACCTTTGTCCTCTCTCTCCCTCTGTCTCTCCAGCCATAGAACTGATGTATGGAGGCATCTATTGCTTTTTGTGCCAGGACTACATCTACGACAAGGACATGGAAACCATCGCCAAGGAGGAGCAGCGGAAAGCTTGGAAACTGCAAGGTGGGTCTCGCCTCTCCTTGCCTGCCCCCTCGTTTCCCTGCCTGCATTCTGCACGCCGTCAGGGAGAAGCTCACCGAGAGGAAGACCGGCTGTCCAGGAAGAGGCCATGGAAGAGGTGGGGGCTAGGGGAGCAGCTGGGGTTGGGCTGTTTGTTGGAAAGACAACACCCTGTTCCCCTCCCCCCACAGACAGCTGTGCCTCCTGCACAACTGCAGCCCGCGGAAGCAACCTGGGCTGCCCGGATGCCCTGGGGCGCAGGTGCCCGTCGCTCTCACAGCCTCCCAGAGCTGTCCTCGCCCCGGTCCTCGGGGCCTGTGGCTGTTGGGGGCCTCTGCTGGGCTTGAGAGACAAGGTGCACCCACACGTAGTTCTCCCGACTGCAAACACTTCACAGGAGAGCAGCGGTCCCCGGTGAGCAGTTTGCCTAGCTCTCCAGGATCCCAGAGAGCAGTCTCGCCTCAATAATGTTCATTATGTGCCTGGCTGTCCCCTGGAGGAGGGGATAGGCCCTTCCTGGGCCCCAGGATGGAGCTGTGGGTGCCTCTCATCCTACTCAGCATTCTGAATGCTCCAGAACCCGTGGTTCTTGCTCCTGAACGACCCCCACCACCACCACCAGCTGTGCCCTAAAGAGGTCGTTCCGGGACAGACACGTTGAGGCCTCTAACTGCAGAGGGGGGCGTGGGAAAACTCTTAAACTCATCTTCAGTAAAAGAGCACGTGGACTAGGGGGGTGCGAAGGGGGCGATGGAGAGGAGGCGTTTTCCTAGCCACCTGCAGTGTCCCTGGTGTGATGCACACTCCGTGGCGGGGATGCGAGAGGCTGAGACTCAACTGGCTCGTTGTAGGAAGGATGTGGGGTGGCAGGATGCTTTATTGCCAGCAGAACTCAGGCCAACCAAGGGCAGGGACGTAACTCCTGGGCCCAGCGGCACCCTTTCCGGCATGCTGCTCCTTCACCTCACCGAGGCAGAAAGCACAGGACAGAACGTTCTAGATACAGTTCAGACAGCAGTCCAACAAATATTTTGCTCCAGCTTGCTCCAGGCAAAATAGATGTATATATTTTTATCTTATTTAATGCAACATTCTATAAAATGTGTTATCTTATTTATGAAATGGTTAAGAATTTAGAAAATTAATATTTATTTCATGTCAGTCTGTATTCCAATAAAATAAAAATAGACAACTGTGGTTCAAAAATATAGGTCCCTGGCTTCCTCCAGGAGGGCAACTGCTTTCTGATTAAATTATTATAGAATCTCTTTTAAAACTGAACTGTTTGGGTTGTTTAATCTCTGTTAACAGAATTAAGATTGCCAGATGGGAAATGTCATAATCCACCACTTCCACAGCACCCTGTGTGCAGGGCCTCGTGGCTGTGCCGTTGTGGGCTCCTGTCTGCGGGCTTCCACCCACACGCACGTCTTCATGGGGCACCGAAGCGGGATACACACAAGCGAAGCGCACCGTTTTATGTATTGTTCAGGCACTTCTTGGTCACCTTGCTCCCTCTTTATTACCGTATTTTTCGGACCATAAGACGCACCAGTTTTTAGAGAAGGGAAATGAAGAAAAAAAGATTCTGAAACAAATAGTGTCCTAAAATATTTTATGTGCGTTAAAACCCAACATCACAGTCATAAACACATGTAATCAACCCTGTAAAGTAAACAGCAGCATTTAGAACCATTTTAGAGCCGGGCAAGCACACAGAGACCACACAGAGCCGGGCAAGTAAAAAAACTTTTTTTTTAAAGTATATGTGTAGGCTATATTTGGACCATAAGACGCAGGGATTTCCCCCCCCCCCCCCACTTCTGGGGGGGGGAAAGTGCGTCTTATGGTCCGAAAAATACGGTAGTTTGCATTTCCAACGTGTGCTGGTGCTGGTGCTGGTAGGACAGGGTGGAGTGCTCCCCCACAGGGCTGGTGAGCTTGTCTCCCAGCCGCCAGCATTTACAGAGAGAGCGTAGCCACATCTGCTCCCAGCTGGCCTGCACGTTCTACTTCACAAACAGTCCATTGTTTTTGAGAAAGGAAGCATAGACATGGCTGTGATAAAATTGCTTATTTTAACAAATCTCTGGAGAACAACCTTAACTTCAACTTTCTATTTAAAAAAATATATATATTTTATTGATTTTTTTTATTTATTTATTTTTTTTTTTACAGAGAGAAAGAGAGGTAGAGAGCTAGAAACATCGATGAGAGAGAGTCATTGGTCAGCTGCCTCTTGCACACCCCCTACTGGGGATGTGCCCGCAACGAAGGCACATGCCCTAGACCAGAATCGAACCTGGGACCTTTTAGTCCGCAGGCTGACCCTCTATCCACTGAGCCAAACCAGTTTTGGCTCAACTTCCTATTCTTTTCCCCTCAGAAATGTAGTAGCATTGCCCCTGGGTCTGAGGGTCCCCTGTCTGCGCAGAGCACGGACCCACAGCGCACAGGCCGCCTCGGGCCTCGCCGCCGGGCCTCCCTCAGCAAGGTGCTGTCCTGTCGCTGTTACTGTGCAGGGTGTTCCGGGCACGGAGCAAGTGCCTTAAGTGGACACAGGCTGTGGTAGGTGAGATGTGACTCTTGTTAGCATTGACAGCTTTGTCTTTGGTTTAAATCTTTTAAGGGCACATCTGAGCATGGAAACTATTGTGTTTTTCAAATTATATTTTTAAAAGTCCCATGTTCTATCAGTTTTGCTCGTTAGCGGAGAATCCCTCATCTAAACTGCTGGGCACTCCCCAGCGCTGACTGCGGCTCTGCTCAGGGGGAGGCTGTGGGAAGGCCCTGGCATTGGCGCTGGGCTGACTGTCATGGGGGCGTTGCTTTCCGTGCAGGAAGCAGCTTATTGCCAGCACAGACTCTGAGAAACTCCTTTCGTGTTAGCCTGTCGCAGCGAATAGGCTTTATCCTTAGAGTATGGTCCCTCTTTGAAATACCTTTGAAGCCATGTGCCCCTATGAGCACACTCGCTTCAGATTAGCTCACAGCGCCCGGCCTGTCTCCTCTGTAGGTGTTGGAGAGAAATTTTCAACATGGGAACCAAGCAAGCGGGAGCTCGAGCTGCTGAAACACAACCCCAAACGGCGGAAGATCACCTCCAACTGCACCATAGGTGGGTGGCGGTGCTGGCGCTGGCCTGCGGTGACTCCATTGGGCTCATTGCTGAGAGTTAACGTTATTGTAGAAAATGGCTTCATGGCACAGAGCCTAGGCCCTGCCCTGAATAACTCACTCTCCCATCCTCTCACCAGCCGCCTCTTGAGCTCCTGGAGCAGGCGTGGGGGCAGGATGGGGAGAACATCCCCGTGTGCGAAAGCTCAGGTGTACTCTCACCATTCTCACGTACGTGTGAATGTTTCCCCTGGGTTTCCTAACGGTTGGAGAAATAGAACTTTTCAAAAAGCTATCTGTTGTTAGGCTCTCTTCTGACTTGTCCTGTTGCCCGAATATCTTCGGGCCCTAGCCGGTTTGGCTCAGTGTGTGGAGCATCAGCCTGTGGACTGGGCCCAGGTTTGATTCCGGTCAAGGGCACATGCCTGGGTTGTGGACTCGATCCCCAGTAGGGGGCGTGCATGAGGCACTGATCCATGATTCTCTCTCATTATTGATGTTTCTATCTCTTCTCCCTTCTGCTCTGAAATCAGTCAATAAATCAAAAGAATATCTTTGGGTAACGTTGTCAAAACAGTGGCTAAAGCGGGGCCAAGGGTGGGGGAGTGATGGTGACGAACATTCCTCAGTATAGTTTATATAAAAGTGGCGTAAAAATACTAAATTTCTTGCTGGATGGATGAGCAAAGGGAAGCGGACAGGTGAATGAAGGAGCGGTGGAGCCCCGGGCCAGCCCTGCGCGCCAGCGCCCGTCACCGCCCCCGTCTGCCCGCAGGGCTGCGCGGGCTCATCAACCTGGGCAACACGTGCTTCATGAACTGCATCGTGCAGGCGCTCACGCACACGCCGCTGCTGCGCGACTTCTTCCTGTCCGACCGGCACCGCTGCGAGATGCCCAGCCCCAGCTCCTGCCTGGTGTGCGAGATGTCCTCCCTTTTCCAGGAGGTGAGCCGGCCGCGCAGCGCTTCTGACGCCGCGCGGTCTCTCCCCTCGAACAAAAGCAGGCTGCCTGCGGAAGGATAAAGGGCGGTGCGTTTGCTGTGAAGGCTTCCGTCTTTCCAAAAGGAGTAGTTAGGTAGTAGCCGATGGACCATTGCCAGGGAGGGGACTTAGAGGCTGAGAGGAGGCTGACATTGGTCTGTGAGTACTGACCCCTTCTGTCGTCTGCCACCTGGCCACAGGCGTGTGGACTTGTGTGCACCCCGTCCCTGCCTGTCTCGGGGGCACGAGCTCTCCTGTTGCTGGGCATTCTGAGTGCAGCGCCCGGCTGTCCTCTCACCAGCCTCTGCTCCCAGTTGGATCGTGGGTGACACTCTGTGCTGTCCATGTCTGTCCCTGACCGGCACCGGCAGGTGACCACCCTAGCACCTTGGGTGGACCATCGGCACTCAGCTTGGAAATCTCAGCAAAGCCTCTCAGAGCTGAAGCAGCTCAGCAACCCAACTGCAGATGGATTACTGCCCACCCACAGGCTGCTGGGAGGGTGTACATGTGCCCAGGCGTCCTCTGGGAGGGTGTACATGTGCCCAGATGTCCTCTGGGAGGGTGTACATGTGCCCAGATGTCCTCTGGGAGGGTGTACATGGGCTCAGGTGTCCTCTGGGAGGGTGTACATGTGCCCAGGTGTCCTCTGGGAGGGTGTACATGTGCCCAGGCGTCCTCTGGGAGGGTGTACATGTGCCCAGATGTCCTCTGGGAGGGTGTACATGTGCCCTGCTGGGAGGGCCTATGTGGGCTCCAGGTGTTGGACACAGGAGCCAGCAGACGGCCTGGTCTGCTTGTTGATCGCCTTCGATGGCCGAGTTGCTGTGCCGGCTCTCCCACATCCTGGGCACGGCTGCTTTTGCGATGCAGCAGAGGAGGTGGGACAGTGGACAGTTGCTGCCAAAACCACCTGGCCTGCAAAGCTGGAGCCACCAACCTTCCGGCCCCTTCCCTCATGCCCATAGCGGGCCAGTGAGCACACCGGATGAACTGGTTGGGTTTAACTGAGAAACTAATGGTGGGTGTGTCAGTTTCAGGTGTGGGTTTAAGCGTTTACACTGGGCACTTTGGTTGATGAATTCAGATAGGCTCGTGTTTAAGGCACGTTTTTTAAGCAGCAGAATCCGTTGTGAGTGTACAAACCTGTTTCTCTGACAAACACGTCGTAGCTCAGCCCCCAGGCTTGTGGAAAACGAGACCGGGCTCAGGGAGTGCGGGACGTGTACCTGCCCAGCACTGCTGAGTGTGCGGTGCGGCCCGGCTCCTGACCCGCATCCGTCTCCTCTGCCGCAGTTCTACTCGGGGCACCGCTCCCCCCACATCCCGTACAAGCTGCTGCACCTGGTGTGGACGCACGCCCGGCACCTGGCGGGGTACGAGCAGCAGGACGCGCACGAGTTCCTCATAGCCGCCCTGGATGTGCTGCACCGGCACTGCAAAGGTGGGTCCGCAGGGCGGGGCGGGGCACTGCAGAGGTGGGTCCGCAGAGTGGGGGCGGGGCACTGCAGAGGTGGGTCCGCAGGGCGGGGGCGGGGCACTGCAGAGGTGGGTCCGCAGGGTGGGGGCGGGGGTGGAGGCACTGCAGAGGTGGGGTTCAAGGGGGGGAGGCACTGCAAAGGTGGGTCCGCAGGGCGGGGGCGGGGGTGGAGGCACTGCAGAGGTGGGGTTCAAGGGGGGGGAGGCACTGCAAAGGTGGGGTTCAAGGGGGGGAGGCACTGCAAAGGTGGAATTCAAGGGGGGGAGGCACTGCAAAGGTGGGGTTCAAGGGGGGGAGGCACTGCAAAGGTGGAATTCAAGGGGGGGAGGCACTGCAGATGTGGGGTTGCGGGGGAGGAGGAGGCACTGCAAAGGTGGTGCCCGCACCTGCACATGGGGCGGCAGTGGGGGTCAAGTGTGCGCTTCTGCACCACGGGGCGCAGCCCACCTGTTCACATTGGGTTTGTGTCTAATGGAGTTCCCCCAAATAATAAAAACTGCAGTTACCTTAAGGAGGTTCTTTACAGTTTGTTTTCTCAAGAGGAGCAATAGGTTTCGGTGTTGTCTTCCCTCCCCCAGGGTAGAGCAGCATAATGGTTGGTCCTCAGCAGCCTGTGACTGGCAGCAGTGAGCTCCCTGTCCCCCTCTTTCTCTCCCTTCCTGCCACTTTCTTCCTCTCTCCCCGCTCTCATCCCTCTCACCCCCCCTCCCCTCTCCCTCTCTCATCCCTTTCTCCCTTTCTCTCCCCCCCCACCCCCATCTCTTTCCCTGTGCCTGTGCCTGAGTCCTTGGCCCCGGGTCCCCACGGCCTCACCTGCAGCTCCTCAGGCGGCAGCTTCGGCGTGGCCGCAGAGCCCTCCGCTGTGGCCAGGAAGACGCGCTGCTCTCCAGGGCCCGGAGCTGTGCCCGTGCCCTGCCCCGCCCCTGCCGGGCCTCCCGGGCCCGAGTCCGGTTCCTTTCCTTCTGGGTCTTCTCAGGGGCTCACTGGACATGAGGGTTTCCCAGATATGTGTGGGTCCAGGGCAGGGGGAGCCTGAGGAACACACGGCGGGGTTCCTCCCCCCGCCCTGCCCCCTGCGGAACTTCCTGTGTGGGCGCCGGTGCAGCCCCAGCTGCGGGGCTGGGGGCCCTGAAGCGCACGCGGCCTGTGGTGGGCCTGGGTGAGGGCCGGTGGGCAGGTGAAGCTCGTTGCAGCGGCTCTTCCTGGCCAGCTCTCTCCTCCTAGTGCGCCGTGTCCTTTCCGACCGGCCCCGCTGTTCTGGGGCGCTTGGTCGTACAGCCTCACGCTGCTCCTCAGGCCTGGGTCTGGGCCGCTCAGACGCCCGAGTCTGAGGCTCCAGCTCAGACAGGCGTTGGGACCAGCTGTCCTGGCTCAGGCTGGCGCTTCCTCCTGCCAGCAGATGTGTCACCGTTAACGTCTGCCCGGGGCCGATCGAAGCTGCCTAGGTGAGGTGTGCTTTCCCAGGCGAAGTGTAAGCGCGGGCACAGCCAGCCGCAGTGGCACTGAGGAGACGAGACGCTGGAACGCTGTTAAATGTGCACATGACGAAAAAAGGGTGAAGCCACGTGGCCCACTTCTGACACGATTGCTTTGAGACCAGCGTGAGGCTCACTAGGAGCAGGGCCCTCTGATTCCGAGCTCATGGAGCTGCTGGCTGCGGGGGGGGGAGGGGGGGGCTGACGCACCCACACCTGCTTTCTGCGGCTCTTTACGGGTGGGCCTCAGGTCGGCTTCCGCTCACCGGTACGCATCTCTGCGTCCTCACGTGTTGTCCCGTGAGTTTTAGATCCTTGTGGGTGGCATTGCCTCCGATCTCTAGGCAGCTGCTGTCAGAGGCTGTGGCTGCCCTTCACGTTACTCGTGATAATGTGGCTTTCTATGTAGCGTACGCAGGACACATGTTCTAGCCCATTCTCTAGTCGAATGAAAGTCATATAGAAGATGTGGGATATATGTTAACATGTACTATATCTAACCGTGTAAATTTTATATTCGTATACCTACACAAATTATGTGCAGGGTGGGGCAAAAATAGGTTTATAGTTGTTTGTATGGGAAACATATAAATACATAAAATAGAGGAATATGCAAATTATCCAGGACGCTGTCGCATCATGACCCTTCACAGGGTGGGCGGGGCTGGGGGCCACAGGGTGGGACTCCAGGTCTCGTGCGATGTCCCACCCACACAGACTCCCTGCGGCCCCCCAGCTGAATTCCGACACCAACCTGGGCTTACTAAGCGGTACCGGAGCTGCTCCCCACACCCACCCCTTCCCAGAACCGTGCTGCCCATAGCAGGGCGCCCGGCAGCCTCCTGACAGGCTGATGCCCGGGAGAGCCGAGTGGGGCGGGGGCTGCAGGAAGCCGCAGGGGGGGGTGGCCGGAGCCACGTTCCTGGGGGTCTAAGGATGACAGGAGCCCGGACTGCAAAAAAGGAAGAGGAAGTGACCACCGGGAGCTCTTCCAGTCCCCCTGCTCGGACACCCTAACCCCGCCCCGCACCCCAGGGGGACAGGGAGGCTGAGCAGGCAGGGGAAGACCCAGCCTTGGGGGTAGCTGCAGCCCGCACCTCCAACTCCCGATCTCCCCGAGGCACCCAGGGCCTGGGCCTGGGCCTGGCCACGCCTCCTCCCTACAGCTCCAGGCCCGGTTGGAGGCAGGCCTGAGCGGACCCCCAGGGTCAGACCCATCCCCCCTCCACACACAACAGCGGCGCCTTCTCCACAGCGGGAGCCAGTGAACCTCGCTGGGGGCACAGCTAAACCCACCCTCCTGGCCCCCGGCCCGGCCCGGCCCTGAGCAGGCACAGCGGTGAAACTGGTCACACACAGTTTAAAGCATGGCACCAAGCGGGGAGGTTTGACAGTTACTCCCCCTTCGGCCTCGCTGCTCCCCCCAGACTCCCCTTCCTCCTCCAACCTCCCCTGGTGTCTCCAGGGACGACCACTGCTCCAGGGCTGCTGGCCAGAGCCCGCCCTCCGAGGCCTGCCCCTCTGCAAAGCTTCCATGGCCACAGTCCCCGCCCGAGTCAGCACCTGCCACTGCGAGGGCACCCGTGGGCTTAAAAATAATCCCTTTTAGACGTCACTTACTGGATGGGACATTTCTAGGTTTATCAGCTCAGAACCTCCTCGTGACAACCCAGTGAGGGAGGCGGAGGGGAGATTGCAGTTCCCGTGTAATGCGATTGTGTTCAGAAACGGAGCTCAGAGAGGACAAGTGCCAAGCCCAGCGGTTCCCACGGGGCAGCACACGCCCCGCGAGGCAGTGTGGCTTTAAGTGGGGCAGTTGGAGAATGGGGTAACAGTGGATGTTTTGCATATGGTTCTAGGGGGCCTCATCTACAGTGTATCGTATATTAAAGTGACTGAGTGCTGGAGTGACCCATCACTATGATGTGCACTGACCACCTGGGGCCAGACACTCGAAGCAGGAGCTGCCCCCTGGTGGTCAGTGTGCTCCCACGGGGAGCTCATGGCTGGTGAGGGCAGCGGTGGCGGGAGCCTTTCCCACCTGATGACAATGCTAAGGATGGGACTAAGCCGTCAGCCAGACATCCCCCCAGGGCTCCTGGACTGCAAGAGGGCGCAGGCCAGCTGAGGGACACCCCCCCCCCCCCAAGTGCATGAAGTTTGTGCACTGGGCCTCTAGTTATACAATAATTAATCATACAAGAATAAGCCATGTAGTGCAGCTGGTCTAGCTCAGTGGATTGAGCGTTTCACCAAGAGGTCACTGGTTCTCCCTGGCCCATTGGCTTAGTGGATAGAGTGTCGGCCTGTGGACCAAAGGATTCAGGGTTCAGTTCCGTCAAGGGAACGTGTGTTGGTTGCAGGCTCCTCCCTGGCCTGAGCCCTGGTCAGGGCTTGTGCAGGAGGCAACAGATTGACGTATCTCTTTCACATCGATGTTTCCGTCTTTCCCTCTCTACCCCTCTCTACCCCTCTCCCGTAAAGATCAGTGGGAAATATCCTCCGTGAGGAGTAACAGAAAACGGGGGAGGAGGGTTCGCAGGTTCTAGTCCCGTCTGCCACATGCTGGGTTTCAGGCTCGATCCTCAGTGGGGGCATGCGGACGGCAGTTGATTGATGTTTCTCTCTTATTGTTTCTATATTTGTAAAAATAAAATAAAATAAAAATAAATTTAAAGACATTTATAAAAAGCACTATTTTCCAAAAAGAATAAACTATCACATACACACAGCTGTCATTTGCACCCCTCCCCTCCCCCCATACAGGACCCTTGAACAGGGGGCTACCAACTGCCTATGAGTTGGAATTCTGAGCATAACTTACGTGGGCCCTCAGCGTTCTCGGGTTTCCACCCTCAGCTGACCCTGGAACAATGTGGGTTTGAACTGTGCGTGTGAGTGGCCTGGTTAGTTCAAGCCCACGCTGTTCCAGGCTCCCTGCAAACCGTGCGTTGCCCTGCCAGGGTGGGAACTGTGCTTGTGCACCTGGCTGAGCAGAGCTGAGCCTGCAGCTCCAGGCGTGGGGACCCCGAGAAACACTGAGCGGGAGTCCTGCAGGGACGGTCCTGGAAGCAAGGCCACTTCCCAGGACTGTTCCCCACAGCGTGTCCGGCCGCTCCCGAGGAGATCGCGCCTCGGCCTCCGCGGGAGCGGAGCCACTCACCGCCCGGTCACTGGCACTGAGCCCTGTGGGCTGAGCTGGGAGCTGAGCGTGCGGGGAGGCGAAGATGGAAAATGAAACTGACCTCTGGTCCTCCGCTCCCGGCCACGCCCGCCCGCGCTGGTCAGTGTCCGCGCTGCCCTTCGCCTCGGCTTCATGGTGCCTCTGCTGAATGGCCTGGCCCCTGGGTCTGTGCCTTTGGACGCTTGCTGGCTGTGGGCTTTCGGGGGCACAGATGTGAATCCCAGAGCTGCACTCTCTCCCCAGGTGATGATAACGGGAAGAAGGCCAGCAACCCCAACCACTGCAACTGCATCATAGACCAGATCTTCACCGGGGGGCTGCAGTCGGACGTCACCTGCCAGGTCTGCCAGTAAGTGGAGGCTCCTCCCTGCCCTGCTCGGAAACGTTTCACTGGACGTTGCTTGTTAGCATGATGCACATTTCCAACCCGCAGACTGGTGTGTGAGAAGTTTTCAGTCTAGATTCTTGAGCGTGAAGTTTCGCCCCCTGGCTGGGTCTTGCAGTGGAGTGTCTGCAGCACAGCCAGATGGGAGCCGGGACACAGATCAGGGATTCATCCGGCCGCCACTGCACGTGTGGGATGATGAGCTCCAGCGGTGCCGGCACAGAAATGAGCAGGCCCGAGTGCAGGTGGCCGGGCGGAGTCCGGGCTCGGGGCTGTGGCTGGGCGTGTGCTCTGTGCACACGCAGCTGGGCCTGTAGGCTGCCCCACCCTGCGCTCTTCAGGGCCTGGAGCCAGGAGCCAGGTACGGCCCCTCAGAGACCGACGTGTGCTCCTGAGTGAGTCACTGAAGTGCTTCCTGGTTTCCTTTCTGTTTCCTCCCAAGTAGTGTCCCTGAACCCTTTTGGTTCTGTGCGTAGAGCTCGAAGCTTTTATTTCTGGGAGGAGAGTGCATTGGTGATGAAGATAGAAAAACGCTTTCCTTCACCTTCAGTGCACTCCCATGGCTTTTATTTCACTCCAGCTTCTTTTTTTTTATTTATTTTTTTTATTTTATTGTTTGTTAATCTTCACCTAGGTATATTTTCCCCATTGATTTTTAGAAAGAGTGGAAGGGAGGGCGGGAAAGAGAGAAACATGCATATGAGAGGCACATTGGTTAGTTGCCTCCCACATGCACTCCATCATGGACCAGGCATGGAACCTGCAACCCAGGAACGTGCCCTTGACCAGGAATCGACCCACAACCTTATGCTCTAACCACTTAGGAATGCCAGCCAGGGCTCACTTCAACTCTTTAGAAAAGCCTGGTCATGCTCCAGTAAAATTTAAAAATCGATGATGGATTACTACTTGCAGTTTGCACGGGAGAGAGATTGGGAAGGAGTCAGTTTTGCCTGATCAGTAGCGTCTGTGTCACGGGCAGTCACTCCCAGCAGTTGGGGCTCAGGCTTTACTATTTGACCTTGTTGAGCTCCATCAGCAGGAGACTGTCAGAGAAGACCCTGTTTACTTTTCTGTGGTCGGGTTCCCAGTCTGAATTTCCTGATTGTATATCCTCCTTTATAATAAAATGGCAGGATGGTCGCTCTGACACGCACTGACCACCAGGTGGCAGACGCTCAGTGCAGGAGCTACAGGGGGAGCGCTGCTGGTGAGCCTATGGCAATGGCAGGAGCCTCTCCCGCCTCCGAGGCAGCGCTAAGGAGCAGTGAGCCGACATCCTCTGAGGGGTCCTCGACTGTGAGGGGCCACATGCTGTCCCGAGTGCCCCCCTCTAGTGCACAAATGTCGTGCTCCAAGGCCTCTAGTTTTGAAGTAAATCTCTGGGAGGGAATTGGCTGGTGCTGCCGTTCAGCCTGGGGAGCTGTGGTTTGGGCACTGTGTGTGAAGTGTGCTGGGGTCTGAGTTACTACCCAGGCTCGGCAGCTCCCATTTCTCACGGCCGCTGGGGTGAGAGTCCATTAATTCAGAACCTCCAGGCGGGGGCCCACAAAAACATCTTCTCGGTGTAGAAACTTGCTTTAGGAGCAGACTTTGTCTTGAGTGGTTTGCACTATGTCCCTCCTTAGGGCCTTAGGGCCCTGGGAGCCCAAGGTGCATTGGGTGCGAATACCCCTGAGATGTCATTTGCATAAAAGGGCAGAGCTGTGTGTCCGCCGGCAGTGGCTCAGCGGTTGAGCATGGACCTATGAACCAGGTCATAATTAGATTCCTGGTCAGGGCACATGCCCAGGTTTTGGGCTCCATCCCCAGTAGGGGGAGTGCAGGAGGCAGCTGATCAGTGATTCTCTTTAATCATTGATGTTTCTCTATCTCCCTCTCCCTTCTCTCTGAAATAAAAAATACATGTCTTTTTTTTTTAAATATATTTTATTGATTTTGTACAGAGAGGAAGGGAGAGAGACAGAGAGTTAGAAACATCGATGAGAGAGAGTCATCAATCAGCTGCCTCTTGCACACCCCCTACTGGGGATATGCCCCCAACCAAGGTACTTGCCCTTGACCGGAATCAAACCCGGGACCTTTCAGTCCCCAAGCCTACGCTCTATCCATTGAGCCAAACCGGTTTCGGCAAAAATAACGTATGTCTTTTAAAAAAGAAAAAGGGGCCCTGGCGGATTTGGCTCAGTGGATAAGTGTCAGCTTGCAGACTGAAGGGTCCTGGGTTTGATGCTGGTCAAGGGCACATGTCCGGGTCTCAGTCTTGGTCCCCATTAGGGGTTATGTAGGAGGCAGCCAATCAATGATCCTCTCATCATTTATGTTTCTATCTCTTCTTCTCCCTCTCTGAAATCAATAAGAATATGTAAAGAAAAGGGTAGAGCTGTGAGAGGATGTTGGGGTATACTCCCTGAGGTGGCACCTCGGAAACTGTGTGTGGCTATCAGTTCTCACTTGGTTTTCCTTCTGCTTCCAGTGGAGTCTCCACCACCATAGACCCCTTCTGGGACATCAGCTTAGATCTGCCCGGCTCCTCCTCCCCATTCTGGCCCCTGAGCCCCGGGAGTGAGGGCAGCGTGGTGAACGGGGAAAGCCATGCGTCAGGAACCACTACGCTGACGGACTGCTTGCGAAGGTAAGGAACCTGCCGGCACTTTTGCAGAAAAATAAAGTGCTTTCCTTGCAGACAGTTGTCTCTCTTGCCTTGAGGCTGTTCAGGAGTCAATCCCTGATACGGTAGGGCCACCCAGGGTCTCCGTAGTCGGTTCTTTCACGTCTGCTATGGAGCCTGAGGAAAGGTGTGACAACATGCAAATGGCTTCACTTGGTGCCCAAAGACTCATACTGGTTTGTCACATTTTTGCAAGGTGAGTAGATATTGTCCATCTAGCTTTGTCTGTGGGACGTTTGTATGTCAGCTCTTCACCCCGTCCCCAGTGTGAACGAACTGTGCAGCTCCCTCACTGCTGTGCTAAGAACCGTCCGGAGTCTGCACTGAGGAGCCCTCCGCCGAGGCGGGGGGATGGACTCTCAGCTAACCGACTGTGATGACTGGCCGTGACCCCCAGAGGGCGGTATATGGGGCTGACTCCATTTGTTAGAGGCTTCACAGTCTGACTCCCACAATAGTCTATGAGGGTTCCTTTTTCTCTGTATCCTCTCCATCACTTGTTTGCTGATTTATTGATTATAAGCTATTCTGACATGTGTAAAGTGAATACTTCATTATAGTTTTAATTTGTATTTCTCTGATGATTAGTGACATTCAGCTTCTTTTTTATAATATATTTTATTGATTTTGTACAGAGAGGAAGGGAGAGAGATAGTGAGTTAGAAATATTGATGAGAGAGAGTCATCGATCAGCTGCCTCTTGCACACCCCCCACCGGGGATATGCCCGCAACCAGGGTACATGCCCTTGACTGTAATCGAACCTGGGTCCCTTCAGACCCCAAGCCAACGCTCTATCCATTGAGCCAAACCGGTCTCAGCTTCTTTTCATTTTTATTGGTCATTTGTGTGTTCTATTTGGAGAAGTGTCTATTCAGGTCTTTTATCCATTATTAAGTTGTTTATGGTTTTGAGTTTTATAAGTTCTTTATAAATTTTGGGAATTAACTCCTTATTAGATGTATCGTTGGCAATGTTCTCTCATTCAGTGGGTTGTCTTTTCATTTTGTTAATGCTTTTCTTTGCTGCACAAAAACTTTATACTTCAATGTGGTCCCATTTGTGTATTTTTTGTTTTGTTTTTCTTGCCCAAGGAGATAAATCAGAAAAAATATTGCTTTGAAAAATGTCTGAGATTTAACTGCCTGTGTTTTCGTTGGGACTTTGATTGTTTTTTAAGCCTTATATTTAATTCCTCAGTCCATTTGAGTTTATTCTTGTGTGTGATATGAGGTGGTTTAGTTTCATTTTTTTGCACATATTTGTCTAATTTTTCCAGCACCATTAAATAGACTGGTTTTATCCCATTGCAGTTTATTTCCTCCTTCGTCAAATGTTACTTGACCATATGCTGTGGGTTTATTTCTGGGATGTCTCTTCAGTTCCATTATCTGTGTGTCTGTTTTTATGCCAGTACCAGGCTCTGTGATTACTATGGCCCTGTAGTATAGTGTGATGTCAGGTGGTGTGATCCTCCAACCTTTGTTCTTCTTTCTCAAGATGGCTGAGCTTGTTTGGTCCCATAAAAATTTTTGGACCATTTGTTCTAGTTTTGTGAAATACACCATTACTATCTTCATAGGAATTGTCTTGACTGTATAGATTGCTTTGGGTAGTGTGGATATTTTAATGATGTTAATTCTTCCAGTCCATGAACCTGATATATGATTCCTCTTATTTGTATCTTCAATTTCTTTCTTCAGTTTTATTAAGAGTTTTTGATTATAGGTCTTTTACATCCTTAAATTAACTCCTAGGTAAATAGATTTATTTAAAGCAATTGTAAATAGGATTGTTTTCTTAGTTTTGCTTCAGATAGTTCATGATTTATTTATTTTTTCAGATAAAAGCCAAAATATTTTATTCCATTAAAACAAATAATATAGCCGGAATTAGTTTGGCTCAGTGGTAGAGCTGAAGGGTCCCAGGTTCGATTCTCCTCAAGGGCAAGGCATGTACATTGGTTGCGGGCATATCCCCAGTAGGGGGTGTGCAAGAGGCAGCTGGTCGATGATTCTCTCTCATCAACATTTCTGTCTCTCTATTCCTCTATCCTCCTCTCTGTAAAAAATCAATAAAATATATATTTAAAAAACAAACAAAACACAATATATATTCCTTTATTCTTTTCTCTTTTTTAAAAATTATCACCCTAGGACAGTGGTCGGGAAACTGCAGCTCACGAGCCACATGCAGCTCTTTGGCTCCTTGAGTGTGGCTCTTCCACAAAATACCACACGCGGGCACACATGTACAGTGCGATTGAAACTTTGTGGCCCATGCACAGAAGTCGGCTTTCGGCCTGGATGAGTCTATTTTGAAGAAGTGCCATTAGAACACTCAAGGGGCCAAAGAGCCACATGTGGCTCGCGAGCCGCAGTTTGTCAACCACTGCCCTGGATGTGGGTTTTTTTTTAAGTTTTTATTTTTTTACATGCAATAAACATTAATATTTCAAGAAAAATTATCTTAAATATAATGTTACGTGCAATATCTCATTACTCTCTCAAGAAAAACTTATTTTAAATATAATACTACATACTAATGTTAAATATAATAATGTTATAGATCTTTAAAACTACTATTATAATATATGCAATGAACATAAATATTTCAAGAATAAAAGGATTTTAAGTATAATATTACCAAAACTTTATTAACATAGTATTATCACAAAAGTTGTAGAAAATATTAAAAATCTACAAATAACAGGATTACCTCTATCCTAAACTATTTTTTTCTCTCTAGCTCTATTTTTGTTGATGTACCGGTATACCGGTTAATAATGGCAGGTTTTGTAATCAAAGAAAACAGGATAATTTCAGGAGAAACATCAAAAGTGCTTTATTCCAAGTAATATCCATTGTTAGCTACCCCATCTTTCAGGTAATTTGTGGGTACCATCCCAATATAACTTTCCTTGTTTTGAGGCAGACCATTCAGAGATCCTATTTCCCCCTCCTTCATACATTTTTTTGAAGTGCTGCTCAGAAAGTGCGTGTGCCATTAATCAGAGCAAGTGGTCATCTGAAGGAGCAAGGTCTGGTGACTATGGCGGGTGGGGTAATACTTCCCAGGCAAGATCTTCTAACGTGTCTTTAACTGGTTTTGGAGTGTGTGATGGTGCGTCATCATGTAGCAAAATTACTTTGCAGTGTCTTCTGTCACATTCTGGTCGTTTCACGATCAAAGTGTGGCTCAAATTGATTATTTGTTGTCGGTAACGATCAATATTAACGATTTCACCTGGTTTTAGAAGCTCATAATACACCACACCTTCCTGATCCCGCCAAAGGCAGAGAGCATTGTCTTCTTTTCGAAGCGATTTGGCTTTGCAGTCTATGTTGATGGTTGACCTGGATCAACCATGGTTTTGTGTGTTTGGGATTCTCAAAATAAATCCACTTTACATCGCCAGTCGCAATTTCATGCAAAAAGAACTTTCATGCCATTGAAGTAACATTTTGCGGATGACTTTTCGGTTTTCCATTTGTCTTTTGTTCCATTGACGTGGCGTCCATTTTCCTTCTTTTAAAATCTTCCTCATTGCTTGTAAATGATTGGAAATTGTTTGCTGAGCAAAGTTTAATCTTTCCAAGTTTTTTTTGAGTTTGACACACATCTTTATCCAATAGTGCTTGTAATTGTTGGTCTTCAAACTTTTTTGGTTGACCTGGACGTTCTTTGTCTTTCACATTGAAATCATCACTTTTAAACCAGCATTCACAAGGATCTTGAGATGGAGCATGTTCACCGAAGTATGATAACTTTTTCTCCAAAATAATGTATTAAAACTTCCCACAGGCCAAAACCGGTTTGGCTCAGTGGATAGAGTGTCGGCCTGCGGACTGACAGGTCCCAGGTTCGATTCCGGTCAAGGGCATGTACCTTGGTTGCAGGGACATCCCCAGTAGGGGGTGTGCAAGAGGCAGCTGATTGATGTTTCTAACTCTCTATCCCTCTCTCTTCCTCTCTATAAAAAAAATCATTAAAATATATTTAAAAAACAAAACAAAAAACTTCCCACAAATGCTCTTTTTTGGGACGAAACTCGACATTTTGAAGCGTAAAAATATGTATGATGTTAACACCTTCAGCAAATTTGACATGAAGTTTTGAAGCTTGCTGTCAATACAACAAAACAGCATACATACCAAATTGCATATATATCAACATATGTGTAACTTCATTTATTGAAAAAAATCGGCATTATTAACCACTAAACCTAGTATAAAACTGCAGCTGATTTCTGGATATTTATTTTGTATCCTGCTACATTGCTGAATTTTATCAGTTCTGGTAGTTTTTTGTGCAACCTTTAATTTAGGGTTCTCTATATATGGTATCATGTCATCTGCAAGTAATGACAGTTTTACTTCTTCCTTTTCGTGTTGGATGTTTTTATTTCTCTCTCCCCATATCCCAAAAAAATGTTTTTACTTGATTTTAGAGGGAGAAGGAGAAACATTGATTGGCTGTCTCTTGCCACCCCTTACTGAGGATTAAGCTCACAACCTGGGTATGTGCCCTGATGGGTGTATGGGACTATACTCAACCAACTAAGCCACACCCACTAGAGCAATTTTTTCTTCTTGTCTGATTGCTGTGGTTCAGACTTTCAGTCCTATGTTGAAATAAGAGTGCTGAAAGCACACATCCCTGTTTTGTTCCTGATCTTAATGGGAACACCTTTAGCTTTTGCCTTTTGAGTATGAGGTAGGTGGTCACATATGGCCTTTATTGTGTTGAAGTGTGATTCGTCTATTTCCACTTTGTTGAGAGTTTTATAAAAAACTAGTGGCCCGGTGCATGAAATTCATGCACATTAAAAGGGGGTTAATTAGAGGAAATATTTTAATATTGCTATTTGCCCTTTCTCTATAATAGAATGTCAGAGATGAAAGAAAATTAGTAAAATGTGTATGAAAACCTTCCTCCTGTCAGAGACGGGCACACCACAGGACCCAGAGTCAAATTCCTGCCCACTCACATACGCCTCAAAATTCTGTGAGACCCAGACCTGGCCCACCTGCACCCCCTTTTCCCCTCCCTTTGGGCTAGATCCAGACCGGGCCAGTCCCACCCTTGTCAAGCCCTGCTGGGCAGGAGAAGTAGGCTCAGGTCCCCTGGCCCGGCGCCAGGGTCGGGGGTATGGCCTGAGGTCCCCCAGCCCAGACCCGGAGGGGGAGGGGTGTGCCTTGAGATTCTCCTGTCAGGCCCCGCTGGCTGGGGAGCATGCAGCTTCAGGTCCCCCATCGAGCCCCACCAGGTCGGGGGTGTGGCCTGAGGTCCCTGCTGATTGCTCATTGAGGCTCCTTATGGGAACTTGGCCTCAGCTGTGGGTGCAGCCATCTTTGTGACAGTTATGGTCAATTAGCATATTCCCTTTTTTAGGCGCTGGGTTTTATCAAATGCTTTTTCTGCATCTATTGATACGAATTTTATCCTTCATTGTATTTATGTGATATATAATGCTTAACCTTGCATACCTGGAATAAATCCCACTTGATGGTGGTATATAATCTTGTTAATGTATTGCTGGATCTGATTTGCTAATATTTTGAAGATTTTTGGCATCTATGTTTATCAGAGATATTTGCTTATTGTTTTCTTTCCTTGTGGTTTAGAATTAGGATAAGCCTGATCCTGTATAATGAGCTTGGGAGTCTTCCCTTCTCTTGAAGGAAACTTTTCTTGTTTCCTGACTCACTTGTGAAGCTATTCAGTCCAGGACTTTTCTTTGTTGGGAAGTTATTATTTTTTTAAATATATTTTATTAATTTTGTACAGAGAGGAAGGGAGAGAGATAGAGAGTTAGAAACATCGATGAGAGAGAGTCATCCATCAGCTGCCTCTTGCACACCACCTACTGGGGATATGCCCGCAACCAAGGTACATGCCCTTGACCGGAATCGAAACAGGGACCCTTCAGTCCCCAAGCCGACACTCTATCGATTGAGCCAAACCGGTCTCGGCTATTGGGAAGTATTTTTGTTTGTTTTAATCCTCACCTGAGGATTTTAGGTGGAGCGGAAGGGACACGGGGAGAGAGAAGCGTCCGGCTGGTCGCCTCCTGCACGCACCCTGACTGGGGACCGAGCCCGTGACCCTCTGTGCAGGAACCACACTGGCTAGGGCCGGAATCTTTTATTACTGCTTCAGTCTCATTCGCTGTAATCTGTTCACATTCTTCCATTCTTCTTGACTTAGCTTTGGAAGATTGCATGTTTCATCCAGATTGTCCAATTTATTGGCATTTAGTTGTTTGTAATATTTTTACAATCCTTTGTATTTCCTTGGTGTCAGTTTTTATTTTGCCCTTTTTATTGCCGATTTTATTTATTTGGGCCCTCTTTTTTTTTTTTCCTTGATGAGTTTGGTTAAAGGTTTGCCAATCTTGTTTTCTTTTCAAAGAACCAGCTATTGGTTTCATTGAATTTTTTATAAAGTTTTTTAGTACTTTTTTTTTTTTTTAGATTTATTTCTTCTCTGATTTTATTATTTCCTTTCTTATATTCACTTTGGGCTTTATTTTTTATTTTTCTAGTTCCTTTAAGTGCTAAGATAGGTTATTTGAAACTTGTTTCTTGAGGATCAGCCTATGATACTATGAATTTTTCTCTTAGGACTGATTTTGCTGTGTCCCACAGATGTTGTGTTCTCATTTTCATTTGTTTCAAGGTATCTTTTGATATCTTCCTTGATCTCATTCAACAATGAGATCATTTATTGTTTACTAACATGTTATTTAACCTCCATGTCTTTGTGTGTTTTCAGTGTCCTTGTGATTGATTTTAGTGTCATAGCGTTATGGTCAGAGAAGATGCTTGATATGATTTCAGTTTCCTTAAATTTATTTAGACTTGTTTTGTATCTTCATGTGCTCCATCCTAGGAAACATTACATGTCCACTTTTAAAGAATGCTCTGAAGGTAACAGTTAAATCCATCTGCTCTAGTGTGTCATTCAAGGCCGCCATCTCCTTGTTGGTTTGCTGTCTACAGTTCTGTCCATAGATGTTGATGGGGTTACTCTCCTCCTGTGACTGCGTTAGTGTCAGTTCCCCCTTTGTCCATCAAGATTGGCTGTACGTATTGAGGTGCGCTGTGTTGGGTGCATAAATGTTTACAAGGGTTACGTACTCTGTTGGATTGATCCCGTTAATGTGTAATATCCTTCTTGTCTCTTATTATCACCCTTGTTTTAAAAGATATTTTATCTAGGTATTGCTGCCCCAGCTTTTTTTCTCTTTTCCATGTGCCTGAATTATCTTTTTCCATCTCTTTGCTGTTAGTCTGTGTGTACCTTTTCGTATGAGGTGGCTCTCTTGTAGCCTTCATATGGTCCTTGTTTTATTACCCTTTCAGCTATAATGGAAGCATTTTTTAAAGTCATACAGAGAGAAGGTGACAGATGTATGAATGCATGTATGTTTTTACTAGGGAAATGAATCCATTGAAAGTGACAAAATAACTTTTCTGTCTTTTAACTCTTCCATGTTTTTTCTTAAAGTACGTTTTTTAAATGCCTTGTAGGTTTACCAGACCAGAGCACTTGGGAAGCAGTGCCAAGATCAAATGTAGTGGTTGCCATAGCTACCAGGAGTCCACTAAACAGCTCACCATGAAGAAGCTGCCGATTGTAGCCTGTTTTCATCTCAAAGTAAGTTCTCCAGAACAGCTTTCGTAGCAGACTCAGTCCCCGGCGCAGTGTGAGCTGCTGGTGGGTGCCAGGCGGTCCTCTCCCTGCTCTGGCAGGAGGGCGCTGGGTCAGGCTTTACTGTTCCTGCCTACGTTCTCCCATCCTCACCCCAAGTTTCCATTTGTCTTTCACTTTAAAAGCAGCAGGTCCCTTAGCATTATGACCCATCTAAGGGCCAGCAGGTGCTTTCCGGGAAGGGTCCAAGAGTAAGTTTTTAGGCCTTGCTGCCATGTGATCTCTGTTTCATAGTCTTTGTTTTATTTATTTACTTATATATATATATACATATATATATGTTATTGATTTTTTATTTTTATTTTTTTTTTTTTTTTGCAGAGAGGAAGGGAGAGGGATAGAGAGCTAAAAAAATCAATGAGAGAGAAACATCAATCAGTTGTCTCCTGCACGCCCCTTACTGGGGTGTGCCTGCAACCAAGGTACATGCCCTTGACCGGAATCGAACCTGGGACTCTTCTGTCCACAGGCTGACGCTCTATCCACTGAGCAAAACCGGCTAGGGCTCTTTGTTTTATTTTATGGCCCTTTAAAAATGTTAGAAAGCAAAACAAAAAGGACTCCTGCTTCCTGGCTGGTTGGATGCCTGGCGCCGTGGGAGGAGCGGTGCTGGTTCTGCTCCGGGGCTCCTTCCTGGCACACTGTGTACACAGCGTGTTACCACTTTGAACTTCATTTCAAACTTGCCCGGAACCCATACTTTACATTCATGTAGACGCTGTCTTACTGAGCCTTTCAGCTCCTCACACGGCCCAGAGGCCATGCGAGCATTGACGGAAAGCCCCGAGGCGCACACTCAGAACAACTCATTCCTCTACCTCTCCCCCTTTCCTAGCGATTTGAACACTCAGCCAAACTGCGACGCAAGATCACCACGTATGTGTCCTTCCCCCTGGAGCTGGACATGACCCCCTTCATGGCCTCCAGGTACGGGCCTCTGCAGGGCTCTGCCCCGGGAGGCTGTGGCTTTGTGGGGTCAGGATCGGCACTGGGTCTGTGGTGAGACCATTGTAGGCGTTGGCACAGCCATAACTGCTAAAGCCAAGCTCCTGTCTTGATCTTACCAAAACACATTTTATTTGTTTATTTAAAAAAAATTTTTTTAAATATATTTTATTGATTTTGTACAGAGAGGAAGGGAGAGAGATAGAGAGTTAGAAACATCGATGAGAGAGAGTCATCGATCAGCTGCCTCCTGCACACCCCCTACTGGGGATATGCCCGCAACCAAGGTACATGCCCTTGACCGGAATCGAACTCGGGACCTTTCAGTCCCCAAGCCGACGCTCTATCCATTGAGCCAAACCGGTCCCGGCTATTTTTAAATTTTTAATTCTTGATTGTAGAGACATCGATTTGCTGTTCCACTTATGTATTTGTGCTGACCGGGGACCAAACCCCAACCTTGGTGTGTCCTATGGGGACAGTGCTCTCACCCAGGCCCCTCCCCAGCCAGGGCCCCAGACACGCTGTGTTTAGTGAGCTGTTTTCCTAAGCTGTCCTTTGCTTTGGGTTTTCCCGGCCAGTCCTTGTCAAGATGGGACCACAGCAAGAAGGTGGCCTGTTAGCCGATGGAATTGGTTTGGGATACAGATAAGCATAGTTGTTTGCAGCTATAGATTCCATTTTTCTTGTTTCAAGTCATTATTATAGAGCACTTACAATTTACCCTCCAAAAGAAACGTGGCACTAATATATTATATTGGCCACATGTTGGTTTCCTGGAGCCACTGTGACAGACTGCTACAAACTCGGTGGCTGAAAGCAAGCTGGCAGAGCCGGGAAGGCCTCATTGCTCGTGGGCGGTGTGCTCCGGGAGGCCGGCAGGCACCGCCTCTGCGTCCTTCCGGCCGGTCTCTGCGAAGGAAGTAGAAGGTGTGTAAAATGGTGCAGCACGGCAGGCCCGTGAGGTTGTTGTCTGAGCCTTGCGTCCCTGCAGTTCGTGACTGTCATCCGTGTGCCGTAAGAGTTTCCAAACACGCAGGGCCTGGCCATGTAGTCAGGGCGCTGACCGCCTTCCCCAGGTGGCCCATGTAAGAAATGACGACAACCAACAAAAGCAGTGCAGTGCGAATGAATCAGTTATAGCGTTTTTGGGGGTGGGGGTCAAATCTGCAAAATATATCTGTCTTTGGTGTGCTGCAGGATTTTAAGTAATTAGTTTATGTGCCAGGAGATGGAAAAGGTTGAAGATGTCTGCTTCAGTTCCTTAGTTTGTTGATGTTGAGTTTTGCTCCGTTTGCTGCAGCAAAGAGAGCAGGATGAATGGACAGTACCAGCAGCCGGCCGACAGCCTCAGTAACGATAACAAGTGAGTGCGCCTGGCGGTGTGCGGGCCTCTCGGGTGGGAGCGGCGGACGCAGCCTTTCCCGGCGCGCTTGTTCCTTCGGCCGCTGGCCGCTTCCTGTAGCGCTGTCTCTTAGGAAAGGACTTGCTACCACCCTGATCGTGGACACCCGCCTGCTGTGGGGGCCTGAGCTCTGGGCCCTGGGCTCCTCCTCCGCTGGCATTGCCGCGGCTCTGCTCCCCGGCCTGCCTGGTGCCTCTGCCGTGCAGAAAGGGTGGAGGGAGAGCAGTCACCGGTCTCCCGGCCCCTTCCTCCCACCACGCCCGCCGCAGAGCGAAGGAGGCCATGCGGCCCGGCACCCGCTCTGGCTCCCGGGCACCATGGGGCCGCGGAGCCCCCCTTGCTGTGCAGGCTCTGGTGGTGGAGACACGGAGGTCACGGCGGCTCCTTCCCTTCCGAACAGGTACTCCCTGTTCGCGGTCGTTAACCACCAGGGGACCCTGGAGAGTGGCCACTACACCAGCTTCATCCGGCAGCACAAGGACCAGTGGTTCAAGTGTGACGACGCCATCATCACCAAGGCCAGCATCGAGGACGTGCTGGACAGCGAGGGGTACGTTGGGCGCAGCGTGGGCGCCACACACGTGGTGGTAGTGCCCAGGGCCATGTGCCCCGGTGGCTAATGCCAGCAGGCTTGTTGCAGGCGGGCCCGCCTCCGGAGCGCCCTGAGTGTTACGAGGGGTGCCCTGGCGGCCAGAGCGGGCGGGGGCTCCGGCATCTCCTTGCTCCTGCAGTTCAGGGGCTGTTCCTGGTGAGTGGGCGGAGGCTGGGCCTAGGGGGCTTGGGCATGAGCTGGGCACCGCCACTTCCCAGCTAAGGACCCTCGTCCTTGGGGACTAAGAACCAAAACCCATCCAAACGAGAATCCGCCTGCGGGGCCGGGGCCAGGGGAGGGCCGGTCGTGCGGGGGAGGGCCGGTCGTGCGGGGACTGCGGCCGTCAGCGTGCCCTTTGCCCCCGCAGGTACCTGCTGTTCTACCACAAGCAGTTCCTGGAGTACGAATAGGCCCACCTCTGCCCGGCGGAGCAAAGGCCGCCAGCGGCCGCCCCCGAACACCCGGCATCGCGGCACCACCCCGCAGCCCCACGGAACACCCGGCATCGCTGCACCACCCCGCAGCCCCACGGAACACCCGGCATCGCGACACCACCCCCCAGCCCCACGGAACACCCGGCATCACGGCACCACCCCGCAGCCCCAGAACACCCGGCATCGCGGCACCACCCCCCAGCCCCACGGAACACCCGGCATCGCGACACCACCCCGCAGCCCCACGGAACACCCGGCATCGCGACACCACCCCCCAGCCCCACGGAACACCCGGCATCGCGGCACCATCCGCAGCCCCAGAACACCCGGCATCGCTGCACCACCCCGCAGCCCCAGAACACCCGGCATCGCGGCACCACCCCCCAGCCCCAGAACACCCGGCATCGCGACACCACCCCCCAGCCCCACGGAACACCCAGCATCACGGCACCACCCCCAGCCCCACGGAACACCCGGCATCGCGGCACCACCCCCAGCCCCACGGAACACCCGGCATCGCGGCACCACCCCCCAGCCCCACGGAACACCCGGCATCGCGGCACCACCCCCCAGCCCCACGGAACACCCCCATCGCGGCACCACCCCCCAGCCCCACGGAACACCCCCATCGCGGCACCACCCCGCAGCGCCCGGGCCTGGGATCTGCACAGCGGGAGAGCCTGAGAGGAAGGCCTGCTGAGGGGGGTCCCTGCCGCATCTCCTCCCTCAGTGTGGGGCCGCCCAGGGCGCTGCGCTGTGCAGCTGAGGCCAGGCCAGAGGACCTGGCGGTGTTGGGTGTCCGTGTCGCACATGCAGGGAGGCGCTTGGCTTCAGCCAGCAGAGCCTGTGGGTGGAGGACACGGACCCCCAGGCTCTGCCTCAGAGCGCAGCCCCGACGCCCAGGGTGCCCGGCCACGCACCCCACCCCTGCTCTTCCGCGCCGCGGACCTCATAACCAGTGTTCCTGACAGGTGCATCGGGCTCACACTGAGCTGAGAGTTTCCTTCTCGAGAGGCTTGCTCTTCGCTGTTCGTTGCCCGCGCGCCCCCCCCCCCCCCCCCAGCCTTGGCGTCCTGGAGGCAGCTGGCAGGTGCGCGTCAGGCCATAGCGTGTCCCCTGGAGTGAACGATGCCTTTCCCACGGCCCCGCTGTTCTTCCTCCCTCGTGTTTCCCCTCGGCCGCCTGTCCACCTCCCCGGCACTGCCCGGTGAGGGGCGCGCTCGCCTGAGGGCCTGCCTCCGGCCAGGGCGGCTGCCTGCCTTGCGAGCAGAGCCGAGCTCGGCCTGTGCTGTGCTGGTCTGAGCTTTGGTCCCTTTCTGAGACGTGAGCCGCGGGGGACGCGCTGCTTGGGTGCGTTGGCAGCGCACCAGGGCCCCGAGCTGCGCTGCCCTCGGCCAGCAGACTCCTGAGACCGGGCTGACTGTTGGCTCTGCGGCCACAGGTGAGCTCGCCGTGTGCCCACAGAACCGGGTGAACACTGAAGCTGGAAATCCATGTGATGTCCCATCGGGACGTTCTTTCTCACTTTGAGAACATGTCACCCTCCTAGCCGACGGGCCGCCCAGAGCAGGCCGCGGGCCAGACCAGGCGCTAGCTGGGGGGTTGGCAGGCGGGACTCCAGGGGCGGGGCGGGTACATCCCGGCAAATGCCGGGCTGTGCAAAGCCGCGGGCCGCAGAGCCGCCCTCGTGGCAAAACCCCGAGTGATGATGGCTGTTCTTCGTTATCTCCCACCTCTACCCTCTCCCGGTCCCCTGGCGGCCCCCACACTGTGGTTTGTGCCCATGGCTTTGTTCCCCCTTTTCCTCACTCACACCCCTTCCCGGGCCCTGCCCCGGGCTGGCAGCCTGCTCTGTCCCCTGGGCTGCACAGTGAGGTGATGGTGCTGGTTCTCTGGCTGGTGGTTCCCCTCCACAGTGTTCTCCAGGCCCCGTCGTGCTGTCCCGAAGGGTAACGCTTTCTTCCTTTTAACGATCAAGTAGGATTCCTTGTGGCTGCCCCACGGCTGGCTGACCCCTCGTCTGCGGTGTCCGCGTCGCGGCTGTTGTGAGAGCGCCCGGTGGCCGCGGGCTCAGTCAGTCGCTGCGTTTATGGGGCGCAGGCTTTCCAGAGAAGCCAGGGGGGTGCCTGCCGGGGAAGGTGCTGGCAGTGGCGTCCTCGGTGATGAGCACAGCTGGGCAGCGAGCTGACGGCTTGTACCTGGGTCTCCCTGCGTCTGCTGCTGGGCCTCCGTGCGGGTGGCGGGCGTAAAGCCGGGGGAGTTTCCGGGAGATTATCTGACCTGGCCGGCCTGTGCCCGCCGCCCGCTGCCGCCGCTGGTGCAGCTCAGCAACCTGAGGACAGGACGGGGGGGGGGGGGGGGGGGGGGGGGGGGCAGTGGGCCACACGTGTCTGTGGACATTGAAGTGTGTGTCTCCACGTTGGTCCTCTCCCCTCCGGCCTCCCACGGGGCTGTGGTGGCGGTGAAAGCTTACATGGAATGGCCTTTGTAAAGAAGCTCCCGGTCCAGCTATTAAATTCAGGAAAGTGGTTTTGTTTCCTCCCCACCACCAGTGTGTGGGCTCCTGTCGTCACCCAGCGTGTCTGAGCAGCGCCCGCCCCGTCCTGTCCCTCTTGGGGTGCAGATGGCTCCGCGCGGGGGAGGTGCTGGCCCTCCTGCCGGGGCCGGCCGGCCTGTGCGCTTCGTTGTGTAAAACTGCCGGTGGGGTTTGTGCATGTTTGTGTTAGCTTGTTTTTAATAACTGAAGTGGCTGGGCCTGTGGGAACCAGAACAGGCGTGGAAAGGAAGAGTCCGGTGGCGGTGCCGTGGTTTGTACCAGATGTCTGCGCCTCTTCCTCTGCGGGTGGGGCGTGTGCCTTCCCTCCCTCCAGCTTGTAGTCGTCTGTGTCACAATAAAGCAGTTTTACTCCCACACCGGCTGCCTCGCCCCTTCCTCACACCGCAGCTCCACCTGGCCTGGCCCCGGGCGGGGGGCGACTGCCTGCGCAGTGCACAAGCCCCTCAGGGCTCCTTCGCACGTGGACGCGCGTCTGACGCCAAGCCCTGGCTGTGGTATAGAAGGCCTCCGGGTAAGGAAGTAAGGGGAGACGTTTGCTGTCAGCTCTGGTGGCCACAGGCGGCGGGCACCTGGGGACCCTCCCCGCACCTGCTCTGGCCCCAGCACCCCGGCTGCCGTGCACCGAGGGCCCGCGCCTTCGTTTCCGAGGTGCCAGGGAGGCCCGTGGTGCAGGGCGCCCCCTCAGGCTCCCTTCTGGGCGCGGAGCCCGCCCTCCAGGGCAGGGGGCGGGCGGTGAGGCTCGCTGCGAGCAGCAGTCCAGCTGCCCACCGAGCCTGCCACTGTCGGCGTTGGCCTGGGGAGCCGGCACCGTGTAGCGGCCTCTGGTTAGAAGCACACGTGGGCCCAGAAGAGCAGACAGCCCCAGCCGGGCGGAGGCCGCCCTGCCTGCTTGGAGGCAGCTGCCGGGTCCGCAGCAACAGTCAGCGGTGCGGCAGGCAGGGCGCGGGCGGCTGTGGGTGTTCCAGGGGGGAGAGGCCGCCTCCACCAGGCAGCCGGCTGGCCCTCGGACATGCTGTCCCGGAGTCGGCTGCTAGACAGCGCTCAGCATCAGCCTGGCGAGCCTGGGTCAGGGCAGGTCAGGGGCATTGACTTTATTCTAGCTGCCTCCTTGGTCTTTAAAAAAAATTTTTTTTATTGATTTTTGAGAGGAAGGGAGAAGGATAGAGAAACATTGATGAGAGGAACATGTCAATTGATGACTGGCCTTCGTGTGGCTTCCTGGTGGCAGCTGGCAGTTGCAGCTGTAGATTCCATTGAATCTTTAAAAAATTTATGCCCCCCCCCCCAAAAAAAAAAAGTTAAAAAGCAAAACAAAAAGGACTCCTGCTTCCTGGCTGGGTTAGATGCCTGGTCAATGCTCAACCACGAAGCCACACTGACGGGCCTTCCGCGCGCTCTTGATGGCCACTTCTCCGCAGTCTGCCCAGCACGCCCGGCCGGGGGGACACGACCTGCATCCGAGGCCTGTGCTGTGCCCCTCTGAGAGCTCTGTCCCATCCAAGTCTGGTCACTAACCTTGTGCCCTCTCCCAAGTCCTTGACAATCCATCCAAGCTGTTGGTGACTTCCCATGAGCCCCTGTGGATCAGCGCTGTGGGCCTCTCCAAGGCGGGTCACCGATGTCCAGCTCCCAGGTTCTAGGGTTTCCTCCGTTACGTCCGGCAGGTCTCAGTTCCTGGTCAGAGAACTGTCAGGGGGGGAGGGCGGGGGGGGGAGGGGAATAGCAGGTCGCTGGTGAGGCCTGAGCCACCTGCTCAGGTCACTCAGCACCTTCCGGACATGGCTTTCCCACGCTGGCACTACCCACTCCAACTCAAGGCTAAGCAAGGCCAACGACACTCGGTTTAGGTGGATGCTCAGGCTTCCTGGTCAGCCGTTGTGCTATGAGTGGTGTGTAGTCCTCACTAAGTCTGCGGACAGCAAACGTGTTTCTGAGAGGAACAGCCTGCAGGGGAGGGTGCTCTGCCTGCCCCGGAGCCCGCTGTCCCATCGCCCGGGCCCTGCAGGCTCCTGTTGCCCTCGCCCCATTGAGCACCAGTGGTCTCTGGACCATGAGGTCTGAGTGGTGGTACAGCCTGAACTTGCTGCTTGGGTCCCCTGGGAGTGAGCCATGTGGCGCCTCTGGCGATGGGTCGAGCTGGCACTTGGTGATGTGCTGCCTCTGATCCCATCAAGGCCTGCCGCACATCGGGCCTTGTAGGTGGTGCGAGGTGCAGCAGCTTCCGCCTTAAAGGGGATAAGAACATCCATGAGAGGAACATCATCGCTTGGCTGCTCCTGCAACCGGGCGTGTGCCCTCGGGATTGAACCGGCAGCATCTTGGTTCTGAGCCACCCTGCCTGAGATGGTATCTTGATACACTTCAAACCAGTGGGACATCATTGAGTGGGGAGCCCTGAGTTTGGGGGAATTTATTTATCATGCTTCGGTTCACTTGTCTTATTAAAGCATTTATAGAATTTGCTACTTTCTGCTCATCAGCAATAAGTCATCAATATTGTGAACCTAAGTGATCTATAATAACAGAAGTGCAATATGCTTATTAGATAGGACAGCTGAACATCCTTCCGGACGTCATTCCAGACGCAGCCACAGAGGCTGAGGAAGAGGTGGTTAGGGGCGATGAGGCAGGCAGGCAGGCAGGCCAGCGGTTAGAAACCAGCAGTCTCGGATTGCAAGAGGGACGTCTGACTGCCAGCTTAAGGTCTAAACTGGCATTTGGACATTCCCCCAAGGGGTCCCGGATTGAGAGGTACAGGCCAGGCTGAGGGAAACCATCCCCCCTTCCCCCAACCATGTGCACCTCCAGTATTTTATGAGATAGCAAGATGGTTAATACTTCTCTAGGTTGTATGATAGCAGCAAGCAGCATTAATCCAGTCCTTTTCACTGGTCTGGAAAGGAGAAAGTGTCAGAATGAAGCAGGAAGGAAAAACGAGGCATTTTGCTCCGATGGTTTGGGAAATCCCTCATGGGCTGGAAGCCGAGGCGCACTGGGCGGCCTCATGCCCAGAACGAGAGCCTCCTGGGAGCCTGGAAGGCCTCCTGACCCCCAGTCTGACCTGATTGGTCTAAGGGCCTCAGGGTTTTGTTACAGATTTCCCAGGGACTCTGATGCTCAGCTCAGCTGCCCGTAAGACGCCTGGGCCGTGCAGCTCCTGGTCGGTGGGAGTGCTGCCGGTAGGTAGTCTTCCTGGTCTGGCACCATTAGTGATGTGATTGTGGTGTAATTGGGTGCATGAGGGAGGCAACCAGTGGGTGTTTCTCTCTTTCCTTTCCATTCCCTCTAAAACACGCATATTTAAAAAACAAAATAGAAAAGAAACACCATCCTGCCAAAACCGGTTTGGCTCAGTGGATAGAGCCTGCGGACTGAAAGGTCCCAGGTTCAATTCTGGTCAAGGGCATGTACATTGGCTGTGGGCACAGCCCCAGTGGGGGGTGTTCAGGAGGCAGCTGATCGATGTCTCTCATCGATGTTTCTGGCTCTCTATCCCTCTCCCTTCCTCTGTAAAAAAAATCAATAAAATATATATATATATATTTTTTAAAGAAACACCATCCTAAATGACCTGAGGGAAATTTTAGGGCCGAGAAAACAGAAAAACACAGGCAGTGGCTGACTTTTCAACTCCTTGGAGATCCAAGAGCCAGTGTACCCAGTGGTCACAGTGGGGTCATCCAGACTACAACTCCTCAGATCCATAAGGGACACACTTGGGGCAGACTCGGAGCACCAAAGCCCCACTGAAGCAAGTCCTGCCCCATAAGGGTGTCTCCAACACAGAAGTTCTCCCATCATAGACACAACTGATCCTCACAGCCAATTGGCCTGGAGGTCAGTTTCTCCCGGTGACACAGCTGAAACCGGTTTGACTCAGTGGTAGAGCAATGGTGTGCGGACTAAAAGGTCCCAGGATCAATTCCGGTCAAGGGTATGTACATTGGTTGGGGGCACATCCCCAGTAGAGGGTGTGCAGGAGGCAGCTGGTCGATGTTTCTTTCTTATCAATGTTTCTGACTATACCTCTCTGTAAAAGATAATTTTTTTTTAAATGTCATGAAAATCTGTTTAAAAAGCTGTGCACACAGCCCACAAAGGGGTGCACCAAGACTGTCCACCTCAGGTGACTGGGGAGACTGAGCCACTGGCCCTATAGGACACCTAGCACACAAAGCCACTCTATCAACACAGGGAAGCAACCAAAATGCGGAGACAAGTCACAAATAAAAGCAAACTACTGGATATAGAGTTCAAAACCACAGTTATAAGGTTTCTCGAGAATCTTCTAGAAACCTCTGAGAAATTTAGTGAGACCCTCAAGGATATGAGAAAGGACCGACTAGAAATTACTGAAATAGCCGAGACCGGTTTGGCTCAATGGATAGAGCGTGGGCTTGGGGACTGAAGGGTCCCAGGTTCGATTCCGGTCAAGGGCATGTACCTTGGTTGCGGGCATATCCCCAGTAGGGGGTGTGCAAGAGGCAGCTGATCGATGACTCTCATCGATGTTTCTAACTCTCTATCTCTCCCTTCCTCTCTGTACAAAATCAATAAAATATATATTTTAAGAAAAAAAAGCAATTACTGAAATAAAGAATAATATACAGAGATCCAACAGCAAACTAGAGGATCCCAAGAATCAAGTCAAAGATTTGAAATGCGAAGAAACAAAAAACACCCAACCAGAAAAGAAAAAGGAATTAAAAAATATGAAGATAGTGTAAGGAGCCTCTGGGACTACTTTAAGTATAACATCTGAAGTATAGGCATGCCAGAAGAAGAAGAGAGTGCAAGATACTGAAGACCTATTTGAAGAAATAATGACTGAAAACTTCCCCCACCTAGCACTCCCTGCAGAAAGCACTGCTGTCCGCGGGACCTGGCAGAACCTGGCGGCTGCAGATGGGTCTGCAGGAGACCCAGCCGCTTGGCAGGGCTGCATGGTCAGTCCGCAGGCCTGTGGGGCTGAGGGCCGGGCGTGTGGGCAGCTGGGACCAGGGCGCTGCTCTGTGAGCAGGAGGGGAAGCGGACAAGTCTGGCTCAACCCAGCTGCCATCGCTGCGGGCCTGGGACAGCCCCGCCAGGGCCTGAGCTTCCTGGTCTGTGAAAGGCCTGGCTGGGCCTCCTCCGGTATCAGGCTGAGCCCTGCTTGATACTGCTCTCTGCCCTCTTTCATTTAAATTGTTTTTCAGAGAGAGAGAGGAGAGTGGAGAGGAAAGAGGGGAGAGAGAGATGGGTTGTCTCCCACATGAGTCCCAACTAGGGATCGAACCCACAATCTAGGTATATGCCTTGATAGGGAATCGACCCCACAACCTTTCGGTGCACGAAGCAATGCCCAACCAACT